ATAATTAATTTAGTATATTATAATAGTTTATTAACTATAGTACAAAACTATAGTAATGTCTTAAAGATAACGCTCTAGTGCAAAGTAGCCCACTCGCTTAGGTAGCCCGCTCGCTTATGAACCACGTTAGATAGGTAATTATACGTGAATAGCTTGTAGAATACGTCTTGTCGTTGATCCAAAGTTATATCGATGATTAAGATGTGCAAAGAAAGCGAAGTGCTGAAAGGTTGATGTATTCTTTACCTGTACTAGCACTCAGGAATGGACGTTAGCTCTACGAAATTTGATCTATCTTTTCGTTGATGAGGGTGGCAAGAGAACTGACAGATGTCTGTTTATCTAGAATTTTGGCAACACTGATCTTGACATGGCAGCTCTACTCGATAAGATGCAACAGGCTAATTATCTAAATCGAATCCATACCGACCAGATGCAATGTTGAAATCATGCCCTTCTAGATATGTGTATATTGAATTTTTGCCGCGGTTAGTGAAAGCGGCAATCACGTTACTGATAGCAACCGCAACTTCCTCACTATCTTAGATTTGCGATAAAGATGGCACAATATTGGGCACAGAATCCATGGCCGGCTGGAAGTCAGATGGTACTTTGGCCAGCCAGATATCTACCAACCTCAGATTAATCTTGCTCGAAGGCAAGGTGAGTATCTTCTCGATGACGATCCAGATGGTCGACGCCATATGTACGGGCAATCTTTGCAGCGCATAGCGAGATATTACTGACACATCAAACCCAATGGGTTGTATTCAATCTCACCTAGCTCGACACGTTGTCCATGGAACTTCACTGAGTATCCCTTACGGCCCAGAAGCCACATTGATCCATCCGGCACATATCGCACAAGATCCTTTGTTTTATACAGGCGACCACAGCTGCCCCAGGGTAACCAGGTTGGACGCGGGACGAAAGTTTCTGCTGTCTTCTCCATCTAGTTGAGATAGTGCCGGGCAAGCGTATGGTCTTCGACCAGAAGTTCGCCAACACAGCCCACTGGCGACAACTGGTGATGGTTCTCATAGTCGATGACCCAGCAAGCTGTCCCAATTGCAGTGCCAATGTTTCTTAGATTCGAGCCAATAATCACATCGCGTTTCGAGCTGGCAGCGCAACACTCAGAGGGGCCATAGGCATTTACCAGGTGCGCGCACGGTGCCCATGTCTCGATGAGGGTTGTTGATATTACTTCACCAGTTAAACATAACACTTCAAGTAACGGTGCACTTCCAGGATCTACCGTGCTAGGAGACGGGGGTGTGAGGACGGCCCAGTTGACCTTCATCGAGCAATAAGCCTCAGCAAGGTATCCTCGCCGTTATTCTTCGGACGGCACACACACGCAACCGCCGTGGAGTAATTTGAATGGAATCTCAACGATGCTTGCATCAAACATGTACGAGGTGAATTTTAGCACGCGATTCTTCATTTAACAACCCCTCTTTGTGACATAGGGCGCTTGTGCAAAAGACCTGATGCTCCATGACGATCCCCTTAGGCATTCCTGTACTTCCGGAGATAAAGACCATATACGCGGCCCCCGTAGGAGTCACAGCTGGTAGCAGTAGTACCGGCATTGGCGTGTTTATTACAAGAGCATTAAAGCCAGGCCCAATAGGAACAGTACGGTCGACGAGATCCGGAAAGCGATGGAGCTGCTTCTTGGAACAGACCATGAAATGGGCACCAACTTCCCGCGTGGCCATTACAAGGCGACTGTATGGTGTATCTGGGCCCAAGGGCACAAATGCACCGCCAGCTCTCATAATGCCTAGAATAGCGACAATCACCCACATAGACTTTTCGAAACAGATAGGGACAAAGTCCTTGGCCCCTACACCAATATCCAAAAGATGCACTGCTAGCTTCGACGAGTAGTAATCTAGTTCTGCATACGTTACGTCTCCATCCCACGAGCAGACCGCAGGCGTGTTTGGCTGTCGCATGGTTTGCTTCTTGACGAGGTGGTGTACGCAATCCTGAATGACATCGGGAATAGTCTCGTTCTAGCGGAGCACATCAGACAGCTCTTCGGGGCTGATGAGCTCGATACCAGAAAGGCGACATCGGATCTTGCAGTTGAGCTGCAAGATTACATGCTCGAATTGCTGGACCATACGCTGCACCTGGGCCTGGTTGAGGATTGCATCATCGAAGTGACAGTGGAGGTGGATGCTCTCAGCTGATAAGCTGCACTCTAGAGAGAGAGCAATGGTGGTGAAATTAGCGCGAGGTGCCGAGAATGGCCTAACAAAAATATCCTTGTCTACCTGTGAGTCGGCCGGCTGGATGACGAGCAGTGTCTGAAAGTTACAGGCTGCTGATGCACCGCTACTTAATTGCGCAATATTTTGTAGGCCATAATCTTGAAAGGGAATCATGGCGATGTATTGGGCCTGTATGCCGCACAGGAAGTCTTCCACTAACTGCTGCTGGTCCAACTCTATCTTTACAGGCACCGTGGCAAGGACAGGCCCGACGATGTCTTCTACTCCTGAGACCGCCGAGATGCGCCCACTCACAGCGCATCCGAATACAGCCTGGGGTGAGTCGTTGTATCGTGCTAGCAGCAAGCCCCATGCAGCCTTGATGAGTGTCGCTGTGGTGAAGTCAGATCGGGTTTTACGCTGGAGGCTAATGCGATACTGGAAAGAGGCATTTGCTAATGGCGAGTATGTCTTTGAAGGTAGCACAGGGAAGGTAGCTAGCCCGACGCTAGATAACTCAGATTTCCAAAACTGTTGTGCGTCTTCTCTATTGCTCGCTAGTACATAGCGGATGAAGGAGTTAAACTGGGGGCGGGGTTTGATGCCCGTACCTCGAAGGGCTTCGTTGAGGTCTTGTAAGAGTATCGGCAGCGATAGGCCGTCGTAGATAGCATGGTGGATGGTGAGTACATAATGATACAGTGCTGAGTGGTTATTGCTCTGGATGATGGCATGTCGAGCCAAAGGGTCTCCCATCCACATCGGCCGCTGCTCGTCGAGCGTGAGATAGCTTTCAAGATCTTCTGCCTTCTGCCATTTGATCGGGCCACTGAGGACAGCTTGTATCATGCCAAAGCCCTCAACCTCTGCGATGCGAGTGCGAAGGGCGGCGTGAGAATCTACGACCCTCTGCCAGGCGTCCTGAAATTGCTGGGTGCTAATAGTGGCTGGGAGATTGAGTGTGTGACGAGCAACGTACGAGCCGCTCAATTTTGCGGACAGTGCCATAAGGCCTTCCTGTAGTGGGGTACAAGGATATGCATCGTCGAGTTTCTCTGTGCCCTCCTCGAGGTCGAGAACCACAGCAATGGCTGCTCGCGCCTCTTCTCCCACATTGCATTGAAACAGCTCAAAGGGGCGCGGATCAACAGTCCCAGAGCCAATCGTGGGCGTCATATGTTTGGCCATGTCTGATAGTGTCGGGTTAGCCAAGATGTCCTGGACAGCAAGGACGAAGCCTTGTCGGCGAGCGGCCTGCGAAAGGCGAATCGCCTGGATCGAATCGCCGCCCCAATGAAAGAAATTGTCATCTGCGCCGACAGCACCAGGTCGCAGGACGAGGACCCTGGACCACAAACTCTCCAGCTCCATCTCCATTGCCGTTAATGGCACAATGCGACCCATACCGCGTGCCAGCTCTGCAAGCTGTGTATGCGAGAGGGTGGAACCGAAGGTGGCCAATTTGCGGCGATCCATCTTGCCCGACGCGGTCAGAGGCATATACGCGAGCGGGAGAAAGACAGCGGGAATCATGTACGACGGTAGCATCATTGCCAGCCGCTTGCTCAACTGCATCGCCAGCTCTAAGAGCTCTGCCTTACTAGCGGGTTCGGGTTTGTGAGAGAAGTCGTACGGGAATTCTGGGCCAAAACCGCTCTGTCGTGCGATGAAGGCAGCTAGCATGGGCGTGCCCCTCGGGAAAATTAAGGAGACTGCAAATTTCAGACTTATGCTGGGCGACATCTGGCACAGATGTGACTCGATCTCGGCGAGCTCGACACGCTGCCCGCGGACCTTGACTTGCATATCCGCGCGACCCACAAGATGAACAGTTCCGTCATCATAGTATCGCGCCAGATCTCCCGTCTTGTAGAACCGCCGTCGCTGCAGCGACTTAGGCCCAACCAAGTGTACCCAAGAAGGGTCTTCGATAAATGCAAACTGGGTGCGGTCCGGCTCACCCAGATATCCCTGAGCCAAGCTGGGTCCTTCAATCACAAGCTCGCCGACAGCCCCAATCGGCAGCAGTCGGTTGTGGTCCATAGGATCGACAATCCACGACAACGAGCCCGTTGCGCGACCAATGCAGTTGCGCGGGGTCTGGCCATGAACCATGCGGCCCGTTATACAGACTGAACACTCGCTCGTCCCGTAGATGCTGATGAGGTCGACCTTTGGTGCCCATCGGTCCATTATGTCATCCTGAACTGGTTCCCCTGCGAGAACGAGCGTGTGCAACGGTGTATCTTCAGTGGAGAGAGAGCGAGCAAAGCTCGGCGTGAAGATGGCCCAGTTGACTTTGAATGCCCGCAAGGCTGACTGGATGTCCGTTTGCCGATCCTGCTCAGATGGAATACAGATTGACCCGCCAAAGATGAGCGGCGTGAAGAGCTCAAATGTGCTGACGATAAATGTGTATGACCCAAACTGCAAGGCGCGAGTAGCTTGGCTGATGCTCATGGCTGGGCCATGGCGAAGCGCGCTTGAGCACACAGCTGAATGGACATGCACAACACCTTTCGGTCTGCCCGTACTTCCCGATGTGAATATCACAAATGCCGTGTCTCTAGGTTGCGACCGTGACTCAAATACGACATCGGTAGCAGAGAGAAGAGTCGGGTCAACGGTGATGACACGTCGGACGATATCTTGAACAAGGATTTTGTTGGAGGCAGACACGATAGCTATGTCTGCCTCTACTATCGATATGACCGCTTGGAGACGTTGTAGAGGATGAGCAGGATCCAGAGGTACGTACGCCGCTCCTAACTTCCACAAGGCAACCATGGTAATGACAGCCCCAGGAGATTTTTCAAAGCAAATTGGCACCAATTGTCCTCTCCGAATGCCGGCCTGCTCCAAATACTTGGCAAGACGGCAAGCAGCTTGATCAAACTCAGTGTATGTCATCTCACCGTCCCGTGAGATCAGCGCGGTTGCTTGAGGCATTTTCTGGACCGATAGCTCGATCAAGCGATCCATGCAGGCGGCAGTGCCTGTGGGCACTGCCGCGTTCCAGACTCCTAGTTGGAGCGTGTCAAACGCGCTTAATTGGCATAAGCTTGATACGCTCTGAGAGGTGTCGGCACAGAGAGAAGATAGAAGGTCTGAGAGTGTGTTTGTAACATGTTATGCCTGAGCTCGTGAGACCGTTTTCTCTCGGTACATCAAATGTAAGGGGAGGTCACATGACCCTAGTAGGTCAACTTGTAGAATATAATCGAACTTTCATGAGCAGTTAGCAAATTAATGTCAATACCAATGAGTGGGAATTCATGCCATTGAATTATTGAGTAGCTTAAAGATTTCATCGTCGGAGAGTTCTCCCGTGCGATTGTAGGACGAACGACGCTGCCAGATAGCTGAGTTGAATGGCTTCGGTACCAAAGTGGCAAATGCACTGAAGGCATCTGGGAATGGCGTAGATGATTCTGGTTCGACTATTGCGACTTGCTGCATCTTGTTCATAGCAAGAAGGATAGCATCGTCCAGCCTCAATTTAACTCGACATATGGATGCATTTGCCCATTTCTTCAATTCTTTGTCATAGCTCAGCCCAATACCTGCAAATAAGATGTCTTCAGAACCTGTGTAGCAGCGCAGCAGACCTGCCCACGAAGCCTTGATAAGCTCCAGGGGAGAAGTATTGGACTGCTCGCAGCCGGCTTGAAGAGAAGGGATCTTGACATGTAACTGGTTCACTGACCACCCTTCTGTCTGCTTAGATACAGATGCTATAGGGAGGTGAGATGGAGTGGCTTCTTCAACTATCTGCATCCAGCGTTGATGCGGTCCGTTGACACCATCCAAAGCCGTCGTTGACATCTCACGAAGTAAGTAAAAGAATTTTAAGAGCTCAGGAGGGTGAGTTTCCTTTTCACACAGGGAAAAAGGAGATAAACAAGTAGACTGTGCTGCAGTATGTGAAAAAGATGATATATCCCTACCGGCGTGCCGGCGTGGTATCATGTGAACATTAAAGGCTTCAAAACACTATTCCTAAACAGTTTCGGCAGTTAATTTCCAACGTGTCCCGGAAGAACCGGTAACCTCCATCGCTACGTGACAAAAAACCCTATTTGACGAAAATGACCAATCGGATCGCAAGGGTCATAGCGAAGTACACAGTCCTTGCGATCTGATTGGTCATTCTTGGCACACGGTGTTTTTCGTGGCATAAGAACGGGATTTAATCTAATTATTACATGGGGTTGGGCTATGCTTCCCTAGTCTTCGTCCGGGTTAGGGCGAGATAGTTATAAAGTAAACTGTAACTAGGCTAGCAAATAGGTAGGGGTAGGGTTACTAAAAACTGCCAAGACTAGGGTAGAGATAGGTGTTGGGTTAGGGCCTGTTTAGTTGCGCGGTTGCGTTTTACGGTTGCGGTTTACTATTATAAGTAATAATAGGAAGGATCCTCTCCCTAGGTATAACGATAAGTAGTTAAGAAGCTACTTAAGATTCTAATAAATAGAATAAATATCGTAGGGATTAGAACATGGAACATAACGTCGGTTTTCCTCACTTCAATGAACATGATAGTTAGTTCGGCAGTGCGACCAACTGTTGCTACCACTGTTATTACATTTGGTGCAATGCTCATGCCACCCCTCTACATAACGGCACAGACGAGTGATTGTCCAATCTCATCCAGCCACACAGTCTCGTCTTCCCCATCCCTTAACCTTTTAATGCCTGCATCCCAATTCATTCCGGCAGGGTCACCTACTATGGATCCAAACTTAGGTGGCATTGTTTCAGCAAACTTACCAATGAGTGCGCTGAACATAGGTAGCAGTCTTTCGACAGGGGCAAAAGCAGGGATAGGGATAGGTGTAGCTTCCGCGTTAACTTTGGCGTATGCCAGCGTACTGCTTCTTTGGAGACGGAAGCGGAAGGATAGAGTCGACACTAGAGTTGAAAGTTTGCCTGACATGACGAAGCCCGAGCTAAGTGGAGAGGGAAAGCCTACGAATGAGTTAATGTACCAAATCTTTCTGATGCGTCACTAACTTCCGAGCAAGAAAAACCCTACAAAGATACCTTAGAAAGACCTTGTTACATCAAATTCTTCATCTCTGATCTTTCAAAATCCACCAATCGATGATTTCCTTTATAGTTCTGTCTTTTACAAGTTACGGACTAATAAGAAAGGCATGGATGGTCATATCAACCAGCTACTGACGGTTCTATATTACACGCCTCTCGCACTCGCACTCGTAGCCACATAGATCTATTACCTTGCCCCGTAATACTGAGTGAAGCAGTAGGTCAAGAAGTTCTGCCAGAGCGACAGCAGAACGACATGCCCATTAAATCAGACCGGTGGTCCCGTGTACCAATATGAGGCAGACAGAAATTCTATCTATATAACGTAGCGGATGGCAGTGGAAGATATCCAACGCATCAGACAGTCAGCGACAGACCTGTTATCACTTATGCTTCTCTTTGACCAGTGGCACATACATTGGAGCTTGTGCACAGCTTCAAGGACCATTTATCACTTTCGGCTACTAACTTACTTTATTCCGCTTGACTACTCCTCTACACCAATGTTTCACTATGTCTCTACGAAAACATGTGCATCTTTAATGGGCGCAAGCCACAGTACACATAATATAAGATTTTTTATTAGATATGAATCTTTGTAGCCTGGAAAGCATTTGCTTTCCCAGATACAGGCTTGACTATACGACGAGCAAGGCGACTAAAGTAAAAAAACACATAAACGCTAAGCCGCAGCTTCATAAATATCATGACGCTCATAAAGTCGCTAGAAACAATGTAGGGAGTGAGCATACGGAGCCAAGTGCGCATTCTAGTTCGCTGGGCTGCGACGGAGCAACATACGCTGTTGGCTATTTCAGTCTCATCAGGGTTTTTACCGTGGGCTACATAACTCAATAAGTCGACTCCTGGCATTTTCAATCAAGCTGGTATTGAGTTTATTGTTACGATGGAAACCCATGGCGATGCATGAATATCGGGGATTACTTTGTATTTTGCAAGTTGTTGCTCAATGCATACATGGGTAAAGAAACGGTGTGTCTGATTTTGGTTAGCCTTCTGCCAATTTGGCGTTAGTCCCAGTCCCACTACGTATTAACCTGCAGCTTAGTGAGCTTAATAGGTGTTAAGTGGAGATGACACTTGTAAAATTTATGGTTGAGTTTAGAATATGTAATGCTGCAGTGGCAACAGGCTAACATCATTGGAATTCTCCTGTGCAAACAGGCCTCGTCATCCTATTTCCGGATCGGCTTCCGGAGCCGAATGTTTCCGTGAACACTGACTCGATCATTAAGAGCACAGATCCTCTATCCACCCATCACTAAATATAGTATACTGTTAGGGCAGACTTATTCCTATCGTAGATATGATGTGCACGTCCATACAATTGCGTATATAAGCATCGGTTGTGACCTCCAAGCTCATTACCGCACAACAGCTTATTAACTTTAATCCTAACTCTAATTGAATCTACACTCGCTCAAACTACACCATGAAGTTTCTCGCTGCCGCCACACTCTTCGGCTTTGCTGCCGCCGCCGTTGAGACCGTCACTATCTTCAACTTCGTTTACAGTGGCGTCAATGGCTACCCCGAAATCTCCTTTCAACTTTCTGTTGATGAAGTGATGTGCGCAGCAGACAACTACACCATCGTTTCACTCGGCAACCCATGCGATAAGCCCGAGTGGACTTTCGACATTCTTGAGGAACTGGGCCGCCAGATTCGCTTGCACCATACCGTTGACGGGTACGTGGAAAAACAAATGTTCCAAATCTGATTCGTAGCTACTAACAGGATTTCAGGGTCACTCACACTGGTGATTTTGCTATTCTCCTGAACGGTCCTATCCCTACCTTACTCGGCCAGGTTGGTAATTCCACTGCCGACCTCGACAAGGTTACATCCTAGAAAGTTATCAACCATAGATATCCTAATATAATGAGAATCCATTACCCTTCTTCTACACATCTTCCGCAATGAGTTTTTGGACTGAAGCCTTGCGAAAGGTGGCACGAGAGAGAAGCTATGTACTGTTGTCAAAGTATTCAAGGCCTACAACTGCTTCTCCTTGTCCTTACGCCCCGTTAGCGAACTATTTTGAAGACCTCGATTCTACTGCTTTAATCGCTGCCCAGACCGTGCTGACGCGCATTGAGTCATACCCGCGTTGCGAATCCGCGGACTCTATCTGGACTGGTGCTAATCAGTCGGCAGAGTTTCGTCCGTCACCGTCAAGACAAGTAACAGACGTAAGACAAACAACTCATAATTTTTTTTCCACATTGGCCAGACTATTAACACTGTCCTCTCCGATAGTTAAGGGAACTAGACGCTGATTACTCACTCTGGTGGCTTTCTTGTAATTTCTGTTAGTTGATACAAGTATAATGCCTCCTTCACCGCCACTTCTGTCAGCAGACGAGAGGTATCAGAGCTGACCCACAGCCACGCCTTCAACAGAGCAAAAGGCATCGGCAGCATGTCAGAGTTGCCTTGAATCCAAAACAAAGGTCGACCACCCGTTGCAGATTGCAAGCGATCCGCTTCAGAGCTAACAGTCTTGTTGTGCAATGGCAAGGCGCCTGAATGTAGTGCTTATATACGGCGTTTAACAATCTGCCAGTAAGCTCAGTCAAGGACACATCAGATCAGCAATTGTTGCACCAGTAACTTATCGGAATGAATAAGAGTATGCCAGAGCAGGATGTTGGCGAGATTGTCCGTCACCTAAAAGCGGGTATGGATGCCGCTTCCATAGTGAGCTTCGTAAGGCCTGGAAATCTGCTCACGCAACTCTCATGGACACCAGAAAAATATTCGTCGATATGAGTTCCCCTTGATGACCGAGTTGCCATACACGTCTCCATCAGAGATGAACCGTATCTAGACTCCTTGAACCACAGGTCCTTATTTCCTCGCTCAACTAGTAGTAGCGAGGACTCGAGTCAGAAAACCAAAGTTCAAGATGTTCAGTAGACTCATTTCCTTCTACTCTTGTTATCTTCATCCTTGCAGTCCTTTCGTATACGAGGATCTATGCTTAGAGGGTATGGCTGCCGGCCTGACTGCCTTTAGCTCACCATTGTTTGTCAATGTTATGCTTGCAAATGCTTGTGTATGAACCGCATACCATGCTGAATACAGCACCAAATTGACTTGAGGTGGGAAAGTTGCTCTACTATTCCAAGCCATTTCAAGATATGGCTGCCAAAACCTCTGACATATATGTAAAGTCATGGTCGAAGCAAGAAGATCGTGGAGTTCGGTGTCGATGCTGAGCAGAAGCAAAATCCCGTCCATTACAGGCGGCCCTGATACCCAGCTCCAATGCGACAAACAGCCGCTTAGACAAAATCGAGAAGGTATATGCGAGACGGGCTTGTGAAATGACCCAAGATCGGGGTTTTTTGGACCTAGCGAGTGGGGAACTGGCACAAACATTGAAAAAGCTCGTCTCTTTACAGCCCGAATGCCCTTTTCTTGGTAGGCCACATTCGACTATTACCTCATACATCCATCATATTTCAGCCAAACCCTGCAAAATACCATTGCCGAATCCGAGACTGCACCTTATTATTATGGAGAAGTCTTTTTCCAGTATCCTTGAGATCCACAAACGATACCAGTATCAATGGGATATAAATTTCATTATGAGACAGCTCTACACAAAAACATGTATCATATAGGGCTACTCACGTTTAGAAAGGGCTTTGTGCAGACGCTTACTTTCGATGAACTTGCTGTAATCAAAAGGAAGCTTGATGAATGCACGGATATATTGCCTGAGGCATTCCAGCCAGACAAGAATGTCCTGTCATCTCAGTTGATATTACAGTATGTGGTTTCGTTTTGTTTTCCTTGATCGGCTACTGCCCTAGTGCGACATGGTCATTATCAAGAATCCCACTTACAGCCATGTAATGGCTATAGCGCTAACTCTGTATGCAGTGTCCAGCATTGCCAATTCATGAAGACAATGGCGCAATTGATTGTGAAAACTAAAAGCATAGAAGGATCCAAGCAGCGGCCCTGTGGCCAGAGAGGAGCCCCCCAACCATTCCTCCACGGAGCCCGCATCATGCTTGAGAAAGCCTCTTACATCTACTACGCACGGCACGGGTTTGAGTCCTGCAATCCCTGGGTCGCTTTCATGTTGAAGATGATTAGCAAGACTGTCATTGACGGTCTCAAGGCAAAAACAAACATAGATGCTAGTGCTCTAATAGGTTGGCATTTGCCTCTGGTTCTCTCGGCACAAGCTCTAGCCAACCAAAATCACTACTACCATAAATGTGAGCTATTGGCAGCTCAGCTTCAGAGTGCCATAAGTCCTCAGGAATTGCAGTTGGTTTGCACATATGCCAGAGTAGCGGGCATGAGCAAAACGGATCAGTCGCTGGTGGCAGAGCACTCTTCAAGCCATTGGCCCCTACCAGGCAAGGTGGTGATTGATGAAGATCTGGAAAAGGTGAAACTGGATACGTCGCCGAAGGGTCTGGAAGAAATTCAACTTTGGCTGCGTGATGAGTCAGAAACGTCATCTGCCAACCGGTGAAGGGGTGAAGAGTTTGATCATTGCGCATGGACATTGTAGGTGAGGGTGTTTAGTTCATGTAATTGATGTGATCTTTTAGAAATGGTAGTAGGAAAGCTTTGAGATTTGGAAATGCAAACGCTGTGTACACTGCTAGAAGGGGTTGCATGCAGTTAACGAATACGTGTCTCTGACTCTGTTCGAAAACCAGTCAATCGTTTTTGAACTCGGATCTTACTGTCCTTGTTCGATGTCAAGATAGGGATGGGGGAAATGTCATATGGGCTTAGTCAAATAGTGTCCTTTATACAAGACCTCACACGCCATAAGAAGAATAAACACGTCATCGCTCAAAACATTGAAGACGAAGTCCTGCGGTCCAAGCCACAGCGATGAGAGAATTAGAAGCGTAATACTAAATTAGTATCGTGATTCTTTAATCTATAGGGAATAAACAGGGACATTCCCGATGGGGAAATTTTGCCTTTTCAATAGGTTGAGCTCAGTAGCACCAATTACAAGAGGAATGTCGCCATTGATGTTAAAGGGACGATCATTCACTATTGATCTATAGTAGTTATTACGTTGATAGAAAGAGCGCAGAGTCTAACTCATCTTACTTAGGATGAGACATATGGCATGCATGCTTCCAGTAACAATAAAGTCGGTAAGCTTACAACGCCGAGGTATCACAGTTTCAATTATCCAACAGTCCCATGATGCGTCGAATGGATCCTAGTCACAATAGAGGTTAGTAGACAGAATCAACAGCTTCCTTGTCTTGGCTCTGGAGTATTAGTTTAAAACTCTAGCTACGATTAAAATATTGCCGTTGTGTATCATGAATCTACATCTGGTAATGGTTGCGTCCATTCGACATGTTTCGATATGAATCATCTAATAAGAAACGCCTCCATCTAGCATTGTATTTCAATGCATCACAAGAACTCATGAAGGAGTGATAGGAATTGGTAAAAATAAAGAGACTTGACGTCGTGAAATCTATTAATGCTGTAATCATGTCCAAAGTTCTTCTAGAACCTTTCCATCAAATTCTTCCTCACAGTCCACATTCTCGCTCTCTTGCCGTATATGTACATGGGAATCGAAAAGAGCATACAGCCAAGTTGGATACCTCCAAGGGCTAAAAAGGTGTTTTTGCTCCCGCTGGACTCAAGCCAGTGCGGGAAAAAGAGTGAGAAGATGAAACCGTGCAGAACGTCTGAGCAATGCGTTAGTGTCTGTCAAAGATCATATACTGTGTAGACCAGTGGAGTAGAATGAGCATTACTTACTCTTTGAAAAGTTGAGGGTGACGAGTGCCTCACCGGCATACATGCGATAACTGTCAACAACAAAAGTAATCGCAGTGGTACTAGCCAGCGAGCAGCCGAAGCTGATGACGCCGAAGAATACGGTTGGTACAATCCACTTGTCTCTTTCCTCAGCGCTCCAGCCAAAGCCCATGAGTCCGATGACAGTACTGAGGGCAATGGGAACGGCCATGAGAAGACGGAATTCCGGCTCGTACACACCGTCATTCTTGCGGGCCATGAAACGCACAACCAGATCAGACACTCGGCCCGCTACTGCTGTTCCGAGGACGCCACCAACAAAAGGCGAAATGTAGACAAGGCCAACTTGAAGCGGAGTGAAATGGTACGAAGTATCACGATAAATGTGCGCAACTGATTCGGACAAGACGATCAGCCAGCCGACTGCGAGCGCGTACACGAGCGAGGACCAGAGAACGGCGGGGTAGGCGAAGAGAATGAATGGTCGGATAGCTACACGAAGCCATTTGTCTTTGGCAAGACGGCCGTTCCATGGCTTGAGGGAATCGCGATATGATTTTGGCGGCGCATCACGATAGTAGTCGGTGTAGTGGATAGAGTATTGTTCCGAAATCTGGTCGCTTTCAAGAGCAGAGTCCGAGGTCGCCTGTCCATCCTGAGCCCGAAGGTCCTGTTTCTCTGGATCTGCGTGAACTGCTGGAGGAACGTGGCCAAAATAGTCGTGACCTTGTGTCTCTTTGGGAGTAGAATGGACGCTGATTTGGGAACGGGGCGTTGGCGGAGCGCTAGCTTGGCGCGTGCTTTCGTCGACTACACTCACATTGTGTGTCTTCTCAGTGGGTTCCGGGTCGGCGAATCCGACATGTACGTTTTTGTTTCGCTTGAGCGGATGCTCGGTAGGCGACGCTAGCGGTGATGCCATAGGAGAATGGACGTGCGGTGTCGGCGCCACCGAAGCTGTCTGTTGTCCTTGTGGGGCTTCTGCAGCCTTCTTGTGGTGCAAGTTGGGTAGGTGAAAGTGGCTATGGTGTTTGCCAGGGCTCTGGCTTCGGGTACGAGTGTGCCTTCTTGGTGGTCTTGGTGCTCTGTCCCAGAAAGTCTCGGGCACGAAGAAAAAGATGAGGAAAAAGCAGAAACCGACAATGATTGACGTAATCCAGAAGACCCATCTCCAACCTAGGGATTGTACAATGACGGCGCTGACGAGCGGAATCAAGTTCTTTCCACCGAGCAGCAGCAAAGTGTATATGCCAAGGCGGTAGGCTCGCTCGTGGAGGAAGAAGATTTCGGCGATGGTGGCACTAGGCAGACATTCGACAGGAGAGACAGCAAAGCCCTGGACAATGCGAGCAACGACCAGCGAGGGATAACTGGGCGACAGGGCACACCAGATTGAAGAAAGGGTGAAGAGAATGATGGCGCCTAGATAGACGGGTCTCTTTCCGTACAAGATGGCGGTGGGTGAGGCAACCACGCTGCCCAGGCCGAGGCCCAACATGTAGAGGCCGGTTGTCAGAGCGACCTGTGGTATCGACACGTCGTACGTCTGGGCCACGTCGTTGAAGCCGGCGGCGAGCAAGGGCGTCATGCCTCCTCCGACCATGCAGTAAAAGCCGAGGGAGAGCAAGGCAAGGTCACGTCGTACCTGGTGCCAGTTGAGAGGGTCGTTTGCCGAGTCCTCGGGCTGGGGATCGAGGATAAAGCGGCCATCCTTGGTGCGCTTCTTCTCTGGGCGGCGTGAGCGCGACGAGTGGCGGGAGCCGTGTGAGACTGTGCGGTGGGGCTGTGGTCGTTGCGTGGTAGGCAGTGACGAGGTCGAGGTGCGGGCGTGGGCGTGCTGGAGACCCAGTGGCTCATTGCGGTTGTGGGCGCGTGAAAGGAGGATGACGGAGCCTGCAAATTGAACCGTGTCAGATGGCTTCAGGCGCACCGAGAATTGCATAGCAGAGGCATACCAGGCACTTCGTCAGTCTCGGGGTCGCTCAGTATGCCCAGATTCCATCTACGTCGCGGAGCATCGTTTTCTTGTGTGGCTACGGCTGTGGAAGTGGCGCCGTTTTCCTCGACTGCCTGTGTCTTGCGCCAAGGAGTAAACTTGACCATGGCAGGCCAGGGTGCACAGGAAGGAGCAAAGAAAATCAATCTACAGAGCAAGGAGAAGAAGAAGAAGAAGGAGCAAAAAAAGCGACTGGGCAGGCGGACTATATGCTCCGGCCCACGGTTAGGTTACAGAGCACGCGTCTCACGCGGAACTTTTTCCCCACACACACAAGGATGCAATTGGATATCGAACCACGGACGGGCATTGGGCTCAGGATGGTGGGGAGGCGCGATAAGAACAGGTGACGGGCGTGTGGGGTGTCCATGTCCATGTCAGGGAGGGCAAAGCAGGCATGTGGTCGGATTGCTGAGAGGCAAAGGCGCGTTGGAGAAGGCTAGGAAGGCTAAGAGATGGGGTATCGCGGCTGGCGTTGGTCGGGGCGGCACAATGACGCACCAGCAAACCTCATGTGACGCCAGATCCGCTGGCCTCGCGCCTCCCATTGGCTGCCGCCGCGCTCACCGCCTACGCAGTATTCAGCCTCCTGCCTCGAGGGTCCCTCCTTCCCGACCTGCTTGACACGCCTAACACGAGCGCGCACCGCCACAGCTGGGGAACATGACTGCCACCGCTTCCACCACCACCACCACCACCACCACCACCACTGCTACAGCACATCCATGCCCCGACTTGCCCGCCTCGCCGGACTGCCACCACGTGCTCTCTTCACCCTTCGATGGCCTGCATTGCCATCCACCACACTGCTCGCCTGTTCCATCTTCACCCTACGCGTCGTCGTTTTACGCTCCACCTCCCAAGCACGAGATATCGTCATATCGCATGCCCAAGCATCAGGCCTCATGTCGGTCTGTTGCGGCCGCACTGCACATGCCCTGCTATCGCCGCCAATCTTGGGCTCACCGCGCATCGGTCAATGTAAGCCCATGACTCGCACGTGATCGTCCCTCCCCATATTTCCCGCCGTTTTGGCAGAGTGCGGACCACCCTCTAGTCCTTGCCAACACACTCCACACATACCTACATGTCCATGCATGTATGTACATGTGCATGTTGATGCTACTTACATCCATCCATCCATCCATACATACATACATACATACATGCTCACTCTCTCGCTCAAACCGCGACTCATGCATACGCACTACCAACCAAGAAACAAGGCCTCGGCGCATATCTCAACCGCTTGCAATACGACATCGTTCGACTTCTGTTCTACATGCTGTCTTCCCTCCACCTCGACCTCACCTTCTGCCATCCCTCCATCTCTCCCTTGCCGCCCCTCTTCTCCAGCCCCAGCCCTCTGTCTACCCACTCCTGACTGCCCATCTCGCTTAACCTAGACAGAGCCCGAGCAAATGCAAACTTCTCCTCGTCCCCGCTGAAAATGGACGAGTTCTTGAGCATGTCCATGTTCATGCCCAGGTCGTCCATGAGATTGCGCATTACATCCGAGATGGCTTCTTCGTCCTCCTTATCACCTGCGGATGCCTTTTGCGATGACGGTGAAGACGAAGATCCAGGCAGCTTTCCCGCCTTCTTCGATGCTGCTACCGCATCACTGAGCTCGGCTTCATCCAGGAAAAGGGCTGTCAGAGGCACCGCCGTCGTCATCACCAACTTGGCCTAGCACCTCTTTGTTAGCAACACGTTCTACTCTCCTCCCACATAGCCGCCCTCACTCACCCTCGACTCGTACACTGCATCGATAAATGTGATGAACCTTCTAGCCAAATCTCGACTCCGGTAGTTCATGCCTGGCACCCCCGTAACAATAAACGCTTCATACTGCCGAGTGAGCTCAAGGTAGTCAGCTGCGCCCGTAGCACGCCCAATGATGTCGTCAAAGCTAAACACGGCGCACTTGCCACTGGCTTTGGGCACATGAATCTCCCGGCCCCAAACCTCATGCACAGCAGGATGTGGCGGATCATTTTCAAAATCGCCGAGAAATCGGAACCACCGCTCCACATGGGTTTGCGCAGATGCGTCCAAGGGATGATGATATACTCCGGACGGCGGACGCGGAATCTTGCGGTAATCCGTGGTCGAGTCAAGATTCAGCACGGTAAGCCGGCTTTTGAGGAGATTGATACATGGGATGAATGACTCGCGTTGGATTCCGTTCTTGTACAAGTCGTCCGGGTGTCTGTTAGACGTAGTCACAATCACAGTGCCATGTGCCATTAAGCCTTCCATCAGCCGTCGGAGAATCATGGCATCGGCAACGTCTGTACATTGAAACTCATCAAAGCAAAGCACCGACGACCGCTCGGCTATCCCAGCTGCCACAAACGGTATCCCATCAATGTCATTGCCGTGCGTCATCTTCATCTTGTGCAGGTCGCGGTGCACGCTCTGCATAAAGTCATGAAAATGGATCCTCGTCTTCCTAGTAATGTTGGGCGGCAGTGTGTCGTAGAACAGATCCATCATCATTGTCTTTCCGCTGCCTACATCCCCAAACATGTAAATGCCCTTGGGCAGCGAGTCGGGAATTGGCGGCAGCGACGATCCGGCGGGCTTGGACATGGAGAGGAAAGAAAATAACCCTCCCTTCTTGGGTGGCTGGAGAGAATCAACGGTCGGTTGCTGAACCGGGGGCTGGGTGTAGGTTGTCAACATGTCGTGGAGGTCTTGCAGGTTTCTGATAATGTTTCGCTGGTGTTCATCGTCTCGCAACCGGCCGCACTCGACGCGCGCATCGTACTCTGCCATGGGGCCGTGGTGCCTCTCCACGTCTTCGGGCGAAACTGTCAGGATTAGCCTTTTGCTCCAGAGCTTGGGACGTTTGCTGCCAAAATACACTCTCGTGCCGCTGCCGCTGCCGCCTGCGCATACCATCGCCGGCCCGCCGGTACAAGCAGCGATCCTGCCGTCATGTTCCTCACTCGTGCACCCCTCGAGCACTGTGTACATATCGCCCTACTTGTTCCACCACCACCAACCCTACCACTACCTCCTACAACTTGTCGTCCGACCACAACCCGTCTCGGCATCGGACCAGCGCATCGCGAAAGTGTCTTCAGCCCGCGCAGGGCCTCGCATGATGTCATTTTGCACATTGGGTGCACGCAGAGCCTGATTGCCTGCAGGCAAAGAAAGAAAAGTCAAGAAGAAAAGAGAGCGGCCGGTGCAAGTATGCAGTGTCTAGACCATGGCACGAACAAGAGTATGCGTAGAGTGGCATCGACAAGAGCGCAAAGCTGTGGAGCGTTGCACATGTGCGCGCGACCCACGCCGTTTTGACATGGGCGGGGAGTTTGCTCGCTGCATCCTCGGCTTTTGACATTCCGGTGTGTGGCTGAAATGGTCATGTCGGCAGCACTTTAGTAGCCGAGGCCAAGGAACCGAAGAACAAGCTTGTGTAAGAACTACGAGTAGTAGACATGCGCTAGACGTTGCATCTCACTTTCTCTCTTTCTCTCTCTCTCACGCACTTCTATGTGTAGTCGTTAACATCACAGCTTCGTCAAACATACATATCATGCTTCTTCCTCCTCTGCCACACTCTCGTACCTGCCCGCATCTCCTCCGCCGCTGCGTTGGTACTTCATCTTGGGCACTTCATATAGCCTTGTGTAATCCACCCTCTCGCCACCCAACCTCGCGTACCCGCTCTCTTTGGAACCAAACAGTGGGCTCGCATCGCACCAGAAATCCTTGCAGTTTGTAGCAATGCCCCTTGAAAAAGGATTGCCTTGTCGTCGCCGGCGTACTTGCTCGCCCTGACTCCCGTGCAGCGCAATCGTGACAAAAGTGTCAATGCCAAGGAGACGCTTCCATTGATCCACAATAGACGCTTTAGGCTCGGGACGGCGCGGTACATCGCCAGTGTCTTGGCCAGACCCAAAGCCGTTTGTTGGTGCGTTGCCACCACCGGATACCTCTTGACTAGTATCGCCAGTCGTCACAAACGAGTTGATAGCATCGGCAGTCGTGTGGCTATGCAGGTGTCCACGCATGCTTTCGTACGTGGTAAGATTGCGCGCAATCTGGAGAAGCTGGACACACAGCAGCATGGTGACCCATGTCAACTGGAAAGCCGCCCATATCGAGAGCACAATTGTGAATGGGTCCTTGTTCAAAACCTTGCATAATTCTGGCGAGATGATGGCGCATTCTGCATAGCCTTTGGGTGCCTCGCGAATCTCCAAGTCTGCAAACATTAGCCACGTCCCCAACTGCGCAGATAGGGTCCACCTACAAGCAAGCACTAATCTGATGAAAAGAACAATGCCCGTTTCCAGTGACAGAATATATAGGACAAAGTGCCGATGGTTGTTGTTCGCGACACAATTGTTCACCCATGGACAGTGGCTATGAACCATTAGCTCCATCTTACACATGCACACCACCAGTACTCACTGATCACTCTTTGCAACACAGCGCTCGCATCGCTTGCAATGCTTACTGCGCAAAGGCTTTCGCACCATACAGTTCACGCAGAAATGGCGCTCATCAAATTGTCGAAGCTCCATAAGCTCATCAATAACGGCCTTGGAAGCACTCCTGCTCGCCGACTTGGGCACAAAGCCAGGATCACTAGTCATGGTGAAGATGTAAAAATACGCCGTGAGACTGTAAAAGGTCGCAAACAACAAGTTGAGGAAAAAGTTGGTTCGTATTGTCCCTTTAGCCATTAGCCGGATAGATACTACTTGCGGTGAAGCGGGTAACTTACATGGGAGAACTGTCGTAATCCAACGAAACCCGACCCAGAATAACGTGCCAGCAAAAATACCGGCCAAAAAGGGCTTCCTATCTGTAAGCAACTGATGAGCCATAATTCCAGATATCACTTACAGTATGAGGTATGCTTCTCATATTCGAGGGTGCCCATTTCAATAGCTTCTGCGCGCCCCATTGCATACCGTATGAACCAATCAATGCTAGCGGGATGCCAATAAAGGCAGGGTAGTGGCTGACCAAGAACAATGCCACAAAGAGTATGACAGATGGCCAGAAGAAGATGAAGCGATTTAAAAACCACCTTGAATCTTTTACCCCAGGCACAGGAAATTGCCGAGGATTCCCATTGCGGTCGAAGCCAGCCTCTGAAAGGGCACGGTGCCATTGACGAGTTGTGCTCATTTCCTGTGCCGTCACCGCTGGCGTCTTCCCATCGTTGTTCTTAGCAAACCGGTCTGCTCCGTACTCGAGCAGTTTCTGGATCGATCCTTGGCTGCCCTTTACGAGGGCCCAGTGCAACGCTGTGAAGCCCTGGTCGTCTGTCGCATATACGTTTGCGCCCCATCGGAGAAAGAGATCGACGCAAGACGGATAGCCTTTGTATGCAGCCCACATGAGAGGTGTATGACTCTGTGAGTCCGGTATATCAACGGGTATGTCTTGGTGGAGAAGCAGGACAATCTGATAGACGTTGCCATCGAGGGTCGCGCTGTGCAAGAGGTTGAAGCCTTGGTCATCGGTGAGGAGCGGGTCGGCGCCGTGATCGAGGAGGAGGTTGACGACGTAGTAGTTGCAGCGCTTGGCCGCCCATAGGACAGGCGTTGCGACGGCGTCGCCGCCCTTTGCGTTGATGGGTGCGCCGGCCTGGATGAGGTAGTGGCAGAGGGCGTAGTGGTTGTTAATGGCGGCCCACTATCAAGCTGTCAGTTTCGACTCCTTTACTTTTACCTGCTCGTTGATGTATGATACGCACATGAAGCGGTGTTATGCCCTGCTCGTCCTTGTATGTCGCATCATACTTGCCGCTGTCGAAAAGCTTCTGGATGGCCCCGATTTCGCCCAGGCGCGCCAACTGCATCAGGTCCTCCTCCACCGGCAGCGTCGGCTTCTTGTCCGTCATGTTTTCCAGTTCATGGTCGCCCGTTGCGGTCTGGCCGTTGCCTTCTGATGGCGTTGCCGCAGCCATGGCGGGAATGATAATAGTGGGTTGCGGAGCTCGCGACACCTCCGATGCAACTACAGCGGCGCAAGAGGCGGTGGGTGTTTGATTCAAATGGACAGTAGACGAGAGATGGGTAGGGCACAAGTCATCGCATGCTGGAAACAAACAGTATAGGGGCAGAGTCTGAGTTGTGGCACTTTGTAGACGCGGATTATGCGACACTTTGCGATTCCCGTCTACCGCTTACTACTACCAGGCCATCGCATGGGCCACGGCACTCACTCATCCCTGCGCCTGCCAACGCAATTTGTGGCGGTGCCACGCAAGCCTCACCCCCGGAAGCCGGATACCGGTCTTCTCCAAGCGCTTACTGTGTACGCTACTCACCACACCACACCTCCTTGTCGCAGTTCTACTATGCAAGCATCGCCTGGAACTCACTTCCCTCTCTCAGCATGTCCTCGGCCCTGCCCGCCTTCACCAGTCGCCCATTTCCAAGCACTACACAGTAGTCTGCCGCCTTGACCGCTTCCAGACGATGCGCAATTGTAATCACCGTACTGCTTCTCATCTCCTCTCTCAACACGCTCTGGATGCGCTGTGCAGTCTCAAAGTCGATGCTCGCTGTCGCTTCATCCATGATTAGAACCGGTGATCTCCTGAGCATCGCCCTAGCCAGCCCCACGAGCTGCCGTTGTCCTTGCGATAGTCCTTTGCCCCCTCCCTCTATGCTTGTACTCAGCGTCCATGAGTACTGTTCTCCGCCAATCTTCTCCAGTACTGAGACACATGATGCATCGGAATATTCCGACAAGGGATCCAGGTTCTTGCGCATAGTTCCAGAAAAGAGCACAGGCTCCTGCGCTAGGAATGTGACACGACTGCGAAGTGCCTGCTTTTTTACTGTCGAAATGTCCATGCCATCGATGAGGATCCTGCCACTCTCTGCCGCAATAGTAGCCAATAGACTAAGAGCCAGAGTCGATTTGCCAGAGCCTGTGCGCCCGATGACTGCCGTGTTGGATCCTGCGGGAATCTTGAGTGTGATGTTTTGGAGTGCTGGTTCGAGGTTCTCTGCATAACGAATCGTCACGTCCTCGAACTCAATATCACCGTTATATGTCGGCCAGTGTGCAGGCGGCTCGACAACACCAGGCGCTTCCCTCTCAGTGTCAAGAAGCTCGACCACACGTTCGACACTAGTAAAGTCCATTTCCAGGTTTCCGTAGACTCTGCACATCCATTCGGTATGAAGCACAAACTTGCCCGCCGTGATCAGCACAAAAGCAGTGAGTCCAGGACTGATGCCAGTATACACGGCAATGAGCGTCATAATCAGTGTGGAGCTAGCCGACATGACGCTGAAGCGTAGAGCTAGCCATGCTTGTAGAGACCAGTAGAAATGGTCATTCTTTTGGAAGTTGTCGACGACTTCAATGACACGAGCTTGGAAACGATGTTGTGCCTTGAAAGCCCGCACAGTAGTTAGCCCTTCGACAAGGGCGCCGAAGTTACTCATCAAGGGAGAAAGCGATACCATCTACCTCAGGTTAGCATGCCGAATCAGACTAATGATGCTCTACAACCAAACTTACTTCAAGCCGCCTCAAGCTCTGCGACGTGGGCAAGAAGCGGAAAAAATAATACACAAAACCACAGCAGAGTAGGACCCCAAAAGCTAAGAACGCTGGCGTAGAGGACAAAATGATGACAATGCAGCTTATCCAGCCAATAAATTGCCATGCAAATGATATGAAGGCCCCGCTCAGATCGCCATCAATGGTATTCATATCGCTTGTCAGTCTGTTCATCAATCTTCCTACTGGAGTAACATCATAGAATCGGAAAGTCGCGTGAGCCACACGCTCCAAAGTTTCCATGAAGATGGTTTTTGCAGCCTGGTATCCAACTCCAAACATGATGAGATGTGTCCACCAAAAAAGTATAGCAGTTCCAGACACGAACAAGAAGAACGTCCAGAGCCAAGGGTCGACATTCTCGGTTGCGGGTGGCAGAAAATCAAAGATTCCGTGGTGCTCTATGTCGTCGTAGCTTTCACCCCAGGACTTCATGAACCATGTTTGAGCAACATCGAGAACGCGAAAAGCTGCCATGACAAAAATTGCCACAGACCACCATCGGAGTGTGCCTGCTTTGACGTAGCGCCAGTATACGCTCCACTTGACGCCACCTTTTGCACGATGCTCGTCTTCGATGAACTTGTCTGGAGCGGCTGCCGATTGTTCTTCTTCACGCTTCTTGGCGTCTTCCTCGGATTCCGTTTCGGTGGTCTGCGTCCGCTTCAGGGCGTCGATATCTTCAGCCTGGGTAGGTTCGTGAATTGTTGCGCGGCCGTGTTCCAGTTGAACCCATTGCTTCGCGATACCATGGCAGAGCTCAGTCCGATGCGTAGCCAGAACAGTCGTTCTTCCATTGAGCAATGGCCCTGCTAGCAACTTGGCAACAATGAACTCAGCCGTTTGATGGTCAAGGGCCGACAATGGGTCATCGAGTAACAATACTTTTGCGTTGCTGTATACCGCCCTGGCCAGTGCTACGCGAGCCTTTTGTCCACCAGATAACCCAATACCATTCTCACCAATGTTCGATAGATCACCGTGCTTCAGCTCCGCCATATCAGGTAAGAGGGCACAAGCTTCCAGTGTTTGCTTGTAGCGCCTCTCTTCAAATGGATATGAAAAAAGAATGTTGTCACGTATGCTCATGCTCTGAAGCCACGGGGTTTGAGCACAGTACGCAACCATCTGATCAGGGCGTATGAGCTCCCCGGCCGTAGTGTCCAGCTCACCAAGCAATGCTTGCAGTAGCGCGGTTTTCCCTGAGGCTACTTCTCCATAGATGACAGTCAACCCAGGAGGAAAGGACATGGTGATCTCGGAAAGCACGTTGTGGTCCACGCCTGGCCAAGCAAATGATGCTTGATGCGTACTGAGCTCAGAGGAGCCTTCAGCTGTCACATAGTTCTCTTCCTTGTTGGGTTCTGCCATGAATTCTTCGATGCGGCCCATCGCAACGTACGCATTGAGAAGGGTTGTTATCAACTGGGGCAAGGTTCGGAGATAGCTTTCCAACTGATTGAACAGCTCAATGGCAGGGAAGATGAGGTCGATGCGCAAATCTTGTCCCGCCAACTTGGTGAAGGCGTAAAAGGCCACAGCAGGGAATAGTCCGGAACCAAAGCGCAGGATGAAGGCAAGTGAGGTTACAAAGAAGATGTTGGCGACACGCAAATGCAGCTCCTTTTGGCGTGACTCAAGAACACCCTCGAGCCATGCATCCTGCCATCCGTACCAACGAAGGTGTCGAATCGACTCGATAAACTGACTTGTTCGTTGGATCTTCTCGTCTGTTGCTGATCGACGCTTCTTCTCAAAGTGAACCTGTAGGCGAGCAATGACAATGTTCAATAGTTGCGACACACCCAAGGCAAGTATGCCCAGCAGACATGCCCAGCCCAACATGCGCCATATGAGTATGATTGCAAAAATCGCGCCAGTGGGTTTAGTGATGATGTCTGAGAATTCCCAGAAACGCTGTGCAATCTCGTAAGCATCGCTTCGCATCAAGTTCAGTATCTTTCCCATCGATGCTGGGTCGTTATCTTCCTTTGGGGCTTTTTTGGTGTTTCTCCTGAAAGCCGATCGAAGAGAAGCAAGTACGGTCTCTGTCCAATATCTGAAAGCAGTTTTGGATTGCTCGTGGCTTGTGTGAGTTTCACCGTTGATCTCTTCGTGTACTTCGCCAACGCTGCTGCCATTAATCTGCTCATCTTTCCCGTCTTGTTTAGCACCCAAGATCTTGCGATTCAGGGTCTTCTCATAAAGCATTGTAATGAGTTCGCCTCTACATCTCTCATATGCGCGCCTTTGGTACCACAAGTTGAAGACATTAAGTTGCGCAGAGGTCAAACGTAACGCTAAAATCACGCAAGCATACGTGATTGTCGCGCGATTGTGACGATTCTCCATGGAGGCAAGGAGGCGTTGAAGGAAGACGGGAGTGAGCAGAGCTGCCATTGTTAGATTGAGGGTACAAAACCAAGATGAGGTCCAAGACTTACTTGCACACAAGCACACTACGCTTAAGAACGTGGTGCGCAGCAGGTCCAAGCCGTTTGCAACAAAGACCTTCCTTGTCACTGAACCTTGGAGCGCCCCAAATGCATCATGCAATCGCGCGTGTTTGAATTCCCAGCCGAGATCCCATACATCACCGTCTTCCATTTCTCGAGTTTTACCCTTTTTTATCAACGGCTCCATCCATGACACAGTCATATATTGCCAAGGGGTTAGATTATCTTCCGGAGTGCGAAGCTTGATAGTTGGTGTGTCATAGACGGCACTGATGTCATGTCTGGGCAGCATTGGATCCCGCAGCGGCATGTTAAGGATAATGAGGATTATCAGGAACGCTGCTGCAGAGGGAACGGCCCACGGAAGATCACTTGCCACGAAGGTTTGTTTGTGAGACAACATGATGATTTGCTCCAACATGAGTCCCGTAAAGAGCATTAACAATGATAAAGACGCAGTTCTCGGCTGCTCGACCAGGATAATGGCGATCGCAATGGCCTAGGCAACTTGTTAGCCATGGATGTATCAAGAAAGCTTGGAGTTGTGCGTACCCAAGCGATTGCTGGATACATGGCCATTGCCTGATGCCAAGGAAAAAATATGTGAACAGTTTGAAACGTAAGACCAATTAATGCTATCACGAGAAGCCCGATGGTCGCGCTCAAAGGCCGCCGAGGCGATGCGGCTTCAAACTCGTCTTTTTTCTCCTGGGTCTCCTGTACCAAGGGTTTCGTCCATCTTGGCCAGTACGGGCTTGTCACCCCTAGAGAATATCTCAACAAGACCAAGGCCGCAAGTATGGCTGGTATGGTTGCAACATAAGGTAACGCACATGGTGTAAACCTAGCAGTTTTGGGGTCCTGACCAAGTCAGTAGATGTCGAACAAGATGGTAGTTTCTGGGTACTGACCCAGAGGCGATGGCAATGTGAGATTGGCGGTATGTCTGAAAAGAATGATTGGTGGGATATTGGAGTCTGGAGCGACGCCATGTTGTTTGTTGCCACCTCAAACAAGCATCCAACGGCAACTATTTGGACAAGACTTCCTTCCACCTGAGGCCCAAGTTGCAAACGATGAGTTGGACAATTGCGGGCATGTAGATGAAGATAAAGATTCAGACAGGTTTGCTAGGCATCAGGGAAAAGAACTTGTATGAGTGAGACGGGTGTCGGTGAGGAGGTTGAACAGTGGTCCCGAAAGGTATGCGGGCCAGACTGGGGGGCTGGCTAGCGTACCCCACAAGCCTTGAGTAACGTCGTTGCCTGGCCTCCTACAACTTGCAAGCGGGACCCTTTGCTTTTCTATACGTCGCATACCGTGATACTGCATTGCAACTGCTCCGCCTATTGACCTCGTGGTTTGCTTTTCATGTGCTGCTACGTGCAGCGCAGCCGTGTCTATCTCGGCAGCCCAACCAAGCATACGTACAGCCAGGGCCTTAGTAAGAGGACTAGTATTACTACGTCGTGTATTTCCCCAATTATTCCCGCTCTACCAGCCGGCCACAGGATTATTTCCGCCAGTGGACGGAATTACAGGCAAAGAGACATGCTTAGGGAGACCAACTCTTGTACCTGCTATCTTATTGCGCCGGCTTGTTATCGGCTGATGAGTGTTGTTCATTACTACTGTTTCCCCATTTTCGGCGTTTCTCTAGATAACGAGTGCAGGAGGAATCACACCCATAGCCACCCGCAATCTGAGCCGGCAACAACTTGCCGTTCTCATGGCAGTCTAGCTCGTCATATTGCCAGGCTTGAGTACATGTTTAGCTAAGAAATGAAATCTCGTGGATCTGTCAAACTTCACCGGATACCCAGGCTCATGTCCCCGCCGCCAGCCTTGCATCATTTTCTTCTCAGGCCGACAACCGGTCTTCCATCGTCCGATATTCTTGTTCAACGCATGCAAGTCGAATGCTATGTGATACTTGAACCGTCGCGAAAACAATCTGGCTGCCTATATAGGCAGCAAGTACCACTAGTCCCTCTACAATACCGGGATTCCCAGCCACAGCCACATCATCTTTCATATGGAATCAAACATGTTCATTAGCGCGAGTGCTGCACAACTAAGGGGCAATCTGCAAGCGCGCGAGTGTTCCTTCGCTACCATCCAATCATCTCAGTGCCAGTACTCAAAGCCTTTCCCACCTGGGCCGCAACCCTAATCCTGGGGGCTGAAACCATGAGCCTCGCATCTACTACGGAATCCTTCGGCTGAATCCACCCAGCGGACTCAGCCACTGCATTTTTACTACTTTGACTACCACTATTGGATGCAAAAACATTGTTTGCCCTGGGTATGAGTAATAACCGCAATGAGCATACGTAACGGATGTATCACCATAGCTTTGGCCTGCCTACATATGCTCTGCCGGCAGTACTAACACGTTAGCTTTCTCTCTCGTTTCCAGCTTCATTGATGTCCAATGACATTCGTGAAAATCTGACAAGGGCTTTCTCCGAAGGATGCACAGTCAAGCTTGCGAAACAAGCCCGAGCACTGCCACATGTCTGCCAATGTGTTCCATGTGTCTGGAAGGAAGCACTCCTTCAATCCTTTGTCGTCGCTAAAATTAGGCTGACAGCATTACTTAAACTAGAAATACAAGAGCAGAGAATCTAGCAGAACCATAGAATCCAATTGCTGTTCTTCAATCAATTTTCACACATCCTCTACTACCATGGCCTTCGGCGAACTTTCACCATCCCCTTCATGTGTTGGGCGAAAGTCAGATCAATCATCAGCCGCAAAGACTCGAGGCAGGGTGTCCACGGCCCGTACCTCGAAGCGCCGCCTATCTACAGACCCAGAGAACGACCCACATATAGTGCCGGATCAATCACCCACTCGTCCATCTGCATCTGCCAAATTAAATCAGACCCCATCAACGGCAGCCTTGAAACGACCTCAAGATGCATCACCTGACACCTTTGACGCTGCCATACCACAGAAACGTGTTTGCGCTTCAAACAAAGAGACTGCAGATGCTTCTGGACAGCGAGTCGATAGTGAAGAAATCTATTTCCAACCCGGGACACCAGAGGCGGCAAGAACCACACACGACAACCTATGCAGTCGAATCAGGAAACAGATGAGCGAACATGATCGAAAAAAAGGCTTCATATACGTTTTCCAGGATAAAAACCATCCAGAGTCTGTCTTCAAAATCGGCGTCACCGAGCGCCCGTACAATGAACGATTGGAAGAACACAGCAAATGCTGCAAATTTGAACAAGACATCGCCCACGTGTCGGCCCAAGTGATTCAAAACAGCAAGCTCTTGGAATGGCTCATACATCGCGATTTGTGTTATGAGGTGAGGTATCGCTCCTGTCCCAACAAGACAAAGGGCCATACCGAGTGGTTTGCAGTCTCGAAAGAAATGGCGGTCCAGACTGTAAAGAAGTGGGAGCGTTTTATGCACGAGGAGAGGCCGTATGATTCGCAAGGCAATCTCAATGTCGTGTGGGAGTATGTGTTTGAGCAACGGTCCCCAGCGGCTCTTGGCGTAGACGAGATGTCTCATAAAGCTCGACACGAGCAATGGGTTGCTATCCTTGCGCCCCCAACGTACAGTGACTACTTCCATGCCTACCTAGCATACGCACGTTCTGAACTCAAAACCACCTACGACTGGGTGTACATGTTCTTCTGGCAATTGTCGACAATACTGTATAGCTTGCATACGCTTGCGTTGTGTAGGAATCGCCCGGCGTTTTATGCGCTTGTTTTTGTGCTTGGATGCGCTGTGTTGTCAAACTTTCGGCTTCAGTCCACTGAGAAGCAAAAGGTTGGCTCTCCCAGGAAAAAGGCACAATGAATTTAGGTCGTGGTTTTCTTTTCAAATGTACAGTAGTTATTTGGTTTATCACTTTACTCGGCAATTCAAGCTAGACATTTCATTTCACCATACACACGAGGCTCGTATGAGGATTGAGCAATCATTTTCCTAATCATACATTCTCTTTTCCTTCGTAACCTCTCTAGGCTCACAGAGTAATATTGTAATTGCGAGACAAGCTAACAGCCCGAAAGACGGCACAACAAGTGCTCGATACCTCAAAATGCAGATTTTCAAATGTACAATCAGGTATCAAGTATTGATGCCAGAACAAAAAGCAATAAGATCAAACATGAATTTAGACAAAAATCAGCTCTTAGAGCTTAGGCTTGGAGACAACCAACGAGTTATTGTTCTGGATCGCCTTGACAGCATCAGTGACAAGCTCGTCAACAATTTCCTTGGCGGTCTTCTTCTCGTTGACAACAGCAGCAACCTTGCCCATGAGGAAAGGTCGGGCATTGTCCATGGTCTCATCATCGATGTCGTCGCCCATCTTCTCAAGGTCGTGCTCGACAGGTATTATGCCCTTGCTGGTGAGCTCCTTGATTTCTTGTTGCCTGTTCTCTTCCCAGTTGTTGACGTATGGGTTGTTGCGGATACGGAGGGGTCGTCCGGTGAAGATGATCGTGCGGATGTTGTCGTCCCAACCAGCGGTGCGGACGGCTTCCTGGTGAACCTTTGGCGCACCAGCCTCCTCGCAGAGGATGAAGCGTGTTCCAACCCACACACCGGTTGCGCCAAAGGCGAGCATGGCAGCAAGTGATTGACCGCTGTAGATACCACCAGCAGCTACGACTTGGACCTGCTCGCCGGTCAAAGGCGACTTGTGGCCCTCAACCATCTTGACTGCGGCTGGAATGAAGACGGATGTGGGGACGTCACCAGTGTGACCTCCACCCTCGCCTCCCTGCGCGCAGATGATGTCAACACCGATATCCAGGCACTTTTGAATGTGCTTGGGGTGTCCGATCATGTTCATGTATAGAACGCCCGCCTTGTGCAGCTTGTCGACGACGGCCTTGGGTGGCACGCCAACGGCGGAGACGAAGAGTTTGGCGCCGGACTCGATGATGACATCGATGAGCTCGCCCAACTTGCCCTTTGTGTAGTCGTAGCTATCCCTCATCAGTTTATTGCGTCTCAAAGGTGGGTCTGGTGACTGGGACATACTTGGTCTTGCGGGCGTTGCCTCCCACCTGGGGAAGAAGCAGGTCAATACCGAAGGGTGCGTTTTTATCGTTTAGGTATCCCTTGAGCTCAGCGATCTGCTCACGGAGCATATCTGGTGTGTATCCGAGACCGCCGATGACACCAAGACCTCCGGCATTGGTAACGGCGGCAGCAAGCCTGGGTCCAGCAGCCACGTTCATTCCAGCAAGAATGACGGGATGCTGGATCTTCAGCAGGTCGGTGAGTTTAGTGCGGATTTGCTCTGTCTTGCGTTAGCTATGGGCGCATGTGAAATAGGACTGTGTCACTGGGGGGGGATAGCGACATACGTGGTGCGGCCATGGTTGCGGTGAAGTAAGGAAGTGTCTACAGTTGGAAGGAGGGCGAGACGAAACAAGATATTTTAGCAGAGGGCGACACAGGTGAAAGCGACGAGGAGTTGGTCGGGAACTTATGGGGTGATGAGAAGAGGAGTTGATTCCTTCCCAGCTCGTCTCTCACAAGACCGAGCCGTGAGCCGAGGCACAACGCAAGTGTCACGCGGAGAAGGCTAGCCACATCTGGAGCTAGCGCCGTCTGGGGAAAGGCCGGGACTAGCATCGCCCGCATGGTGTCGTCACGCTGATTTGTGATCGACTCCGTCTTGGTTAACCATGTTGTCTAGCACTCTGCGCATGCCGGCGCCTAAGATCATATCCCAAAGCTTCACTCAACGTATATCAGGGCCATGTCCAGCCTACAGCCGACATGTATCGGGTCGGGTTGTGGAAAATTTTCCACCATGGCAGAGTAAACGCCAGGCCCTCGTATATGCATGCTATGCGTCCAGCCGGGGCCTTTGTCATCAGTTTCGAGAGCCGCAGAAATTTGCTCGACGAAACATATCGAGTCTGCAAAATAACGAACATACTAAGAAGCGGCATGTCTTTATCGCTCTGGGGAGCAACATGGGGGATAGAACAGCCATGATTGAGCAGGCATGCAAAGAGATGGAATCGGGCAAAAAAATACGCATCATACGGACAAGCAGCTTATGGGAAAGCAAAGCCATGTACGTTCTAGATCAGGACAATTTCGTCAACGGTGCCTGCGAGGTATGCCCTCCATGTTTTTGTACTGTAACATTGTATTAAACCAGGTAGATAGAGACTTCACTTTCGCCTATCGAGCTGCTAGATGAACTGCAAGCTGTTGAGAATAGAATGGGCCGTGTCAAGGTCATTGACAAGGGCCCCCGGAACATTGACCTGGACATTTTATTATATGGAGAGACTGAATTCTCCAACGAAAGACTTCAGATTCCTCATGCCCTAATGTTCGAGAGGGAATTTGTCTTGCGGCCGTTGAGCGAGTAAAGCTATCTGTCACTTGTTCGGATGATCTCAGCTGACTGTTGCTAGGCTCATACCTAACCAAGTCAATTTCCCATATCAGGAATCCATTCAGCAGCATTTGGCGAAACTGCCAAAGTCCGAAGTGCCGCTGGTGCCAATGGTACCGCTCGCATCAGATTTCTCTCCAATCTCGTCCGCCGTAACTGAACAAAAAACACGCATAATGTCCATTCTCAACGTCACACCAGACTCTTTCTCGGACGGTGGTTTGAACTACAACAACGACCAAGAAACATTGGCCAAAAAAATCAAACACCAAATTGCAAGCGGAGCAGCCATCATCGACGTAGGCGGCCAATCCACCCGACCAGGCGCAGTCCAAGTCTCCGCAGAAGAAGAACTATCGCGAGTCCTTCCCGCCATAACCCTTATTCGCTCAATCCCAGAGGCAAAGGACATAGCCATCAGTATCGACACATACCGCGCACACGTCGCCGAAGAAGCCATCAAAGCCGGTGCCAACATGATCAACGACGTCAGCGCAGGCACAATGGACGCAGAAATGCTAGCTACAATGAGTAAACTGGGCTGTACCGTGTGTCTAATGCACATGCGCGGAACACCAGAAACCATGAACTCTCGCGAGATGACGAGCTACCCGGACGGCATTGTCGAAACCGTTGGTCGCGAATTGCTGCAACGCGTTCGGGCAGCCGAAGAAGCAGGTGTCAGGCGATGGCGCATGATTCTCGATCCAGGCGTTGGCTTCGCAAAGACGCAAGAACAGAATCTTGAATTGTTGCGCAAGCAGCATCAACTCAGCAAGTATCCTGGTTTGGAGGGCATACCTTGGCTAGTGGGAACAAGCCGAAAGGCTTTTATTGGACGTATCACGGGTGTCGAAAACGCTCGACAACGCGTGTGGGGCACGGCTGTAGCTGTCTCGGCAGCCATACAAGGAGGTGCTGAGATCCTCAGAGTACACGATGTGAAGGAGATGGCGCAAGTTGCTAAGATGGCGGATGCGTTGTGGAGAAGAGGAAATCCTTCTTCAGACTAGTCTGGTTTGTAAGATTGAACATGGACGTGAAATAGATAAAAGTGTAAATTTATTTGCAACACGAGTTACACCACATTGACTTTTCAGCCTCAAAACAAAAGTGAAGTAACAACAAACTGGATTGAAAACGTTCAATGCTATAAAACTACATATTCAAACATGGGCTATTTTGAACAAAATTAGACTATTCGTCAACTTGCCGTTCTTTTTTTTACAGCTTGCTCGCGCCACCCATCAGCTCGGCACCAGCACCGCTAATGGCCAACTTGCCAGTCTCCTTGACCTTGGTCTGGAACAAAACGGTGTTGCCAACCTTCCACATCTCGGTAATGAGGGTCTGGCCAGGCAACACAACACCGGCAAAGCGGACCTTGATGTTCTTGAAAGGTCCGTACGTTTGCAGAATGTGCTTACCAGAGACACCAAAGCTGCACAGGCCGTGCAGAATAGGTGTGGGGAAACCGCCCGCTTTGCTGAACACAGGGTCAATGTGGAGAGGGTTCAAGTCGCCAGAGAGACGGTAGATAGCAGCCTGTTCCTCGGTCGTGCGCTCTTCAACAACGGTATCAGGGGCACGCTTGGGAGGCTGGTGAACCTTGGTTGCGGCGCCACGATCAGTGCCCTTCTTGGGGCCACCGAAGTTACCGGAACCACGGATGAAGACAGTGCTCTCGTTGTAGAAAATCTCCTCTCCAGTCTTTGCGTCCTTGGTCACGCTGCCATATACAACCAGTCCAGCAGCACCCTTATCAACAACCTCAACTAGCTTGGGAATGGCAACGAGGTTGGCTTCTGTGGGAATGGGGAACTTGCGGATCTCGAGGTACTGCTCGCCGTGGAGAAGCATGCGGGGATCGAAGTTGGGAACGATCTCATCGAACGTGAAGGGAGCTTCTGCGTTGAATGGAGGAACGACACCAAATGTGGGGATGACCTGGAAGTTCTCGTCGCCCTCATACACGAATGGAAGATCGGTGCGCTTGGCACCAACGCCAAGGTCTGTCGTCACTGGTTAGATTTTGTAGTTGATAGCATTCAAACGCAAGAAACTTACTGTAAAGAATCACATCACGTTCAGTGTAGTTGAAAGGGGTACCCTGAGACTTGGCGGCCAAAGCCTTCTTCTGAGCCTCAAGGATCTCCTCGTTGCTCTTGGTAGACTTCTTCTCCTTCTTGCCCTTGGAGGTGTTCTCAATGTTTGCCATAATGGACTTGAGTCCACTAGCGTTGTCGAAGGGGTGGTCAGCACGGCCATCGTCAAAGTTGGTGATGCGCGACCATTGAGCGAGGACAGCCTCGGGAGTGAGCTTAACATCGACTGGGAAGCCATGGCCACCGCTGCGTTGCCATCTGGTAGCAGCGAACCAACCAGAGCCCATCTCGTACAAGCCACCGGTTGGCTCAGGAGCCTTGTCAGAGACGAGTAGAACGACCAGAGGAGCGTTGTAATCAGGCTTAAGGGCCTGGACAACTTCCTCTGGCATAATGGTTCGGGTCATCTGGGTTCCCGCGTTGGGGGCAACGGTGTTGACAAAGATGTTGTTCTTCTTGCCCTCTAGAGCGAGAGACTTGGAGAAACCAAGGATACCGCACTTGGCCGAGGCGTAGTTTGCCTGGCCAAAGTTGCCGTAAATACCACTAGTGGAGGTAGTGTTGAGGATGCGGCCGTACTTTTGCTTGAGCATGTAAGGCCAGGCAGCCTTGGTGCATGCATAGGTGCCGAACAGATGCACCTTGTGAATGATGTCCCACTGCTCGTCGGTCATGTTTGCGAAAGCCTTGTCCCGAAGGATACCTGCATTGTTGATGAGAATGTCAATACGACCGTACTTCTCAATAGCAGTCTTGATGACAGCCTCGCCGTCCTGGACATCGGCCTTGTTGCCGACAGCCTCTCCACCAAGCTTCTGGATCTCCTGAACAGTGGTGTCGGGGTTAACAAGATCATTGACCACAACCTTCGCGCCGCGCTTGGCAAGTTGGAGGCAGTAGATGCGGCCGAGACCAGCACCTCCACCAGTGACCAAAGCGACCTTGCCCTTGAAGTCAAGCGGCTCACCCTTGGGGTTGGGAGGAAGTTGATTGGCCTTCTCGAGCAGCTCAAGAGCATCTGCAGGACCTTGAGGGTGCTCAGGCTTGGAAAAATCGACAACGTCCTTCCACTTGGTAGCGAGAGCCTCGGGGGTGAGCGTTTCGTCAGCCTTGAGCAGAGCGCCGGTTGCCCGCTCCCAACGAAGCTTAGCAACGTGTCCAGCTCCAGCCTCAAAGATGGAACCTGTCTCGGTGGACGACTTGTGTGTAAGGACTGCGACAATGGGGACAACCCACTCGGGCTTCATCTTCTCGAGAACATCTGGAGGCATGACAGTCTCGGTCATTCGGCTGGCGGCAATCGGGGCGACGACATTGCAGAGAATGTTGTACTTCAGACCCTCTTTTGCGAGCGTCTCGGTGAAACCAACAAGGGCGAGTTTAGCAGCTGCGCGAGTTAGCACTTGATATTGGTCTTGGCTTGGATTCCAGCTTACCAGAGTAGTTTGTTTGTCCAAAGGATCCGAACAAACCAGCAGCCGATGCAGTGCTGATCAGTCGTCCGTACTTCTGTTTTCTGAAGTAGGGCCATGCGGCACGTGCGCACTTGTATGCTCCATAAACGTGGACTTTGTAGATGAGATCCCAGTCGGCCTGCTTCATGTTCTTGAAGCTGATATCGCGAAGAATGCCGGCATTGTTGATGAGGATGTCGATACGACCAAAGGCATCAATGGCCGTCTTGATAATCGCCTCTCCGTTCTCTACTGAGTCGTAGTTGGCAACAGCTTTGCCGCCTGCGCTACGGATTTGCTCGACGACCTTGTCGGCGGCCTATTGTGTTCGCGTCAGCCACATATACATTACACCTTCATATACTTGGAGCTATTTCTGGTGAAAGAAAAAACATACCGCTGAGCCCTGGCCCTCGCCCTTGAAGCTGCTGCCGAGGTCGTTGACCACGACATTGGCGCCGCGGCTGCCATAGAAGATGGCATACTCGCGACCCAATCCACCGCCAGCACCTGTTACAACGACCGTCTGGCCGTCGTATCGCAGCTCTTGTGCAGTCATGGTTTGTGTGTATATGGGGGTCTTGTGAAAGAGATGGCTTTTTGCTCGCGTCTGAAGCTGTGTCGCGACTGTGCAAAGCTCAGATAGATACAGCAAGCAAGGAAGGAAGGTGGCACAAGTCAAGCGGGAATCAGCAAAGATCCCGGGATATCAAATGGGAAAATGGGAAAGCGGAAGATGAGAGGAAAGGATGTCAGAAGTTATGGTGGCAGTCAATGTGAAGTCGTTCTTACGGCCATGTCTCATGAAAGCAGCCGAGCTGCTTGCGATGACGAGTTACCTCGGTCCCGACGGCAGTTGGTCATGTGTGGAGAATTGCGAACCGTGCGCCCTCGCACTTTCACATGTCCTTGCGCTGCACTGTCTGATGTTGTGCTGCTGCTGATGGACTCCGGGGTATCATATGACAGTCGCCAAAGCCACGTTCCATCTTGTCTGGGGTCTCCATACATGGTTCCTCTCAGCCATGCATAGCCCCGGATCTCGGAGCCCCTGGCCAGAACGGCACGTGACGACGCGTGAGTTGATTACATACTATCTGGTCACGTCAAATGCCGTTGGAAAAGTAGAATAGAAATGTGATATGGCCGATCGCAATACGCAGAAGCTGTATCTGTGTATTTCCAACGTAGCAAGTCCGAACCCTTTATCGTACCCGTGCCCAGATATATCTCCTTCAAAGTCGAACGCAAAAGATTGCCGAAGCCCAATGCCACTGGTACGGTCGGGATGTTGTTGAGAAGTTTCCACGCACAGGAAAAGTCTATCTGTGGGTGTACAGCATCGCAAAGGCTGTAACATATATACTCATGCCTCCCCTGGAATTTGTTGGGCAGGTAGAAAGCGTCGTCTGCTTAGCGCCAATCCCCATTCTGGACGAGAGTCACATTGTACAGCTGCTTTATCCATCCATCAAGACTTGGGGGACACAAACGCTAATCAATTGTGAAGCAGCATCAACTCTGAGCAGCTAAGTGCATGAAGTGATGCTCGAGCAGAAATCCTTTAGTCTGCTTCACATCCAAGTAGTGCCGAACAAGATACCGAGCTGTACATGCTCTTACCGACACCGCCTCTCACTCCTGGACCGCAAATTTTTATTCTATCGCCAATATAGCCCGGCCATCCTGTGGCATCCATCGCCCAACTCGGTGGAACCTGGCCTCCCTTTCAGAAGCCTCCTCTTAAGCATTGAGTGTTTTCAATGTACACACACTCTAGCGAAAACAGGACAAGGTGCCGTGGATGGTATCCATGTACCTGCAACGCCAGTGAAGCTTGTGAGGAGGAGTCGAGAGCGCGCTTATCATCGTCTCGGTCCGAGAATCGCCCATAGAGCACATTCACGATAGGGCTGTGTGCACGGCAGATGCAGGACGCAGAGCGCAAGGACCTGTTCAATGTACATAGGTGGCCTAGGAGGGCTTCCGCGTGGCTGGAGTGGAACCAGAATTGAGCACGGACAACACGGCTGGTTCGCAAGTCCGGTGAGTCGTTGAAAGCCTCTCTTGTTACCGTCTTTTGATCTGTAACCGTATTCGTATCCCTTTCTATTCGTTTGGTGTCTGCTGCACACATATCGTATCCCCAGAAAAATGTCTCGTGCTCTGTACTATAGCGTGCCCCTTTAGCGGGACAGAGGACTTATATGTGAACAATATTTCCCATTGCCCAATGTCATCAGATGCAGTCGGTTCGCTTCATGCGCATAAGGAAAGCTCCGTGACTAGCCAGCCATTTAGAACTGCCAGCTCTGCCTTACAGGGTCCGGAGGGAATGCGCCATAAACTTTCCAGTGGTATGTGCATAAGCCTGTCATCAGGCTAAAAAGGGCTGTCCCTCCAAAGGTCAGCTGAGTGCATGTCCGGAATTGATACAGGAAGGGATTTGCGCAGTATCGTGCGTGCCACCCTGGACAAAACATTCAAATGAGAATTGTGCTGACTGAAAGACTGTTGTAAGTAATTGCCGTTGGATTCTTAGTGGCATGGTAATGTGACGATGTTGGCTTGGGAGGCCTGTCCCGAGGCCATGTCAACGGTGTCATTGTCGACAAGACTGTCAGCGGGCGGGGCTATCCGCCCGCCTGATGCATGCACCACGTGCTAGTCATTGACCAAAGAACATGCGTTAGCGTGGGGGTTCTCTTTGTTTTCATACAAAGAATGGAGAGAAGGAGGTGTGATGGCTACCGGCCTCCAGCCTTGTCATGAGCCGATGCCATGATGATCTGACGTTACAGAGCCTCGCAAGCAGGGTGATCTCTGAAGGCCGTAGCGGCTCTGCCACCTTCCCAGGCCGTTTCTGCACACGAGCGCCAAACACCCGTCTGTCCGGCAATGCAGCTTGCCGAAGACAGGGATGGCTCCCAACGATGGTGTAATGTCATCATGCAACTGTTGATTAGGTCGAACTCAGGTCGATTCCTTGAAAGTGCAGCCTATGCTCTTGCAGGACTCAGCCTCATTTTTCATCATTCCATTGTCGGCATATTGTAGGGAATTACGTGTGGCAGAATAGGGGATGAGCCTGTGGGCCGAGTCCTCGTTCTCATTCCATGCTAGCCGTTAATGCTGCTACTCTGGCGGTCTTTGAGAGGTCTGTACTTCGCCAGAGCTTGGCGATCCTTGTCCTGTACGATGATGAACTAGCTTCTTGGGAGTAGGTACAGCGCCTAGGTCCTCGATGTCGGGGGGTGCTCAGGTTCCCGTGTCCGTAACCTACGGCTTATGGCCACCTGGTCAGCATCCCCCTAGTGACGTTGGCAGTCGCCACGATAGCGGGTAATTTTGCGCCTGTGCCGAGTCTGTTGCCAGCTCACAGCATTGTGCAGATCACAGAGGTGGAGTGTCCATCTGGTCGGTTCATCATCGACACAAGCATTAGGTTCCTTCTGTCGCTTACTTGCATCTTGTTCAGCATTGCCTTGTCACCTCAGTAGAGTGTACTGCAGTCGACTTCGGAGCACGCGAGCTGTTCGAGCCATAAATTTCGTCCAACGATCATACCAATGAGTGACGATACGGAAAGAGTAAGCGTCCACGACCGGATTTTCCAGAAGATATCGCTAGACGAGAAAATCTATTTCGCTCCGGTGGCCATCGATGACCGCGAGGAGAGCAGACTGACTGCTCAACATGACCTCATAACCAGACTCTTGGGGAACAGGTTGTTTTCCGACCGGATACCTGTAACAGAACCTCAGTCGATACTGGAATGCGGTTATGGGGGAGGTGACTGGGCCGTCCAGTTTGCGGATGAATTTGAGGACTGCGAGGTGTGTGCTCCAATATACTGACTGTGTTGGCAAAGATGGGTTGATTCTAGTAATGCCCATTCACCTGGCCGACAGGTATTGACTACCACAGGTTACCGCTATTGATATATTTCCCATGTGAGTGAATCGGACGTAGGGGAGGTTGGCCAGGACGAGTCTAAGCTAATTTTCCTTTCTCCAGGCCGGTTTCAGACCAACCCGAGAATTTAGAATTGATCGGTTACAATCTTAACGATCCACTCCGCGATCCCGACATTTTCAAAGCAAATCAATATGACTTGATCCACTCGCGATTTGTATCTCCTGGAATAAAAACGGGGAGATGGCCTAGGTACATCAGAGACATGAAGCTCCTGCTACGACCAGGAGGATGGGTTCAAGTCATGGAGTACCTCCCCATCATCCAGTCTCATAATGGACGTCTCACAGATGATTCTGCAGTCAGAAGGTGGTGGCAGTCGTACCAGGCTGCGATGACAAGGATGGATAGAGATCCAAGGGTAGGTCGTCGATTATCTCAGCTGCTTGTTGAGAGCAGGTATCGCGATGTAGCAGTCGATATCTTGCAGCTCCACATCGGTGGCTGGCCGGCAGGTAGGATCATCTCTCTTAATCTGCCGCAGTATCGTGGATGCCACCGACATGGGCGAGCCTGTCATGGTGCAAAAGCAGAGTTGTACCAGCATGAGGAGATGTTGACATTTTGAGCAGACCCAGCCAAGGCCAATATGGGAGAAGAGGCAATCGATGTAGGTCATGGCTCTTGATAACAGCAAGGAGGTCCAAGGTATTGACCATGCCCGTCTGGGAGCAGGTAATTGGCGATCTCCTCGAGTCAATTGGGCTCTGGCCGTTCACTGCAGAGCTTGGCTGGACGGCGGCACAGTTTGACCATCTCATGGAAGAGGTTCGCGAAGAGCTCGAAGATGCCGAGTTGAAACTATACATGGAAATGTGCGTCGTGGCGTAAGAGTGAGAGGCACAAAGCAGCTGACTGTATGCTAGATTTGTCGGACGAGGACGGAAGAGTACTGGTTAATGGTATGTAGGATTCTCGAGTAGCGGACTGGTCTGTTGCAAGATGCGTCTCGTGTCAGTAGTGATGTTGGAACCTGAGTCTTGTGTGGAGACGGAATCTTGTGGTCGCGACCGGATGACGTGCAGGGTTGTAGCATTCATTGTAGCTGTCGTCAAACTGGGTTGGGTTGTTTGCTCGTTGTAGTTTGTACGTGACAAGTCATTGTGCCCGTCTACATGTAAGCGTGAAACGAGCCGGCAAGGGTTGGAGCAACGCGTGCTGTTTTATGAAGCATCGATACATGAGAGGCGAGCCTGCTGCTGGCAAGCAACGGGGCCATGATAGCGGCGTTGTGGACAGATGATGGGCTGATGGGTGGTCTCGGGTTGCAGCAAAGACGCACAAGGAAAACGGCGAGGAAAGGCGAAAGACAAAGGGGCGAGAGGAGGAGAGGAGAGGAGAGGAGAGGAGGGATATGGTGAGTTGAGGACGAGGAAGGAAGGGTGAGCAGTAGAGGCAACAGCACTAGTAACTCTCCTCCTCCCACGGCTGCCACGACTAGCCCTACGACCACCACCTACGTCAAGCAAGCAAGCAAGACGCGTCTTCCCCTTGAAAGCATGGGCGCAATCGGCCACGCCTCTGTTCATCTTTGGGGTCCGGGGGCTGATTGGCATTGCTGGCATTTCACAAGCCTCTGGCCCCGACAGCTTGGTAGCGAAAAACCGTCCGATGGGGCCCTCTCCTGGTTGATCCTTCACGCTCTCGCTCTCGCTCTCACCCGCCCGGGTGCCATGGCTGCCGCTGAGTTTTATATACAGATACATTGGTTTCTCACTTGGAGGCGGCGCTGGCCCTGATGGCCTTGTTACACGCGTGGCCCTTTGGTGCCGACGACGTGCTCGCGCCTTGGAAGCAAGCAGTGTGGCGCCTATCGTCCATTACACCCCCATCGCCTATCGACGTTGAACTCTCTCCATGGCCGTGCGCACATGCACTGCATCGGGGAAGCGGGTGCGATAGACGAACCCTCGTCGAACAAAACCAAGACGGTTGCCGTGCCATGGATTCGGCCCGCCATGACCGGCCAGGCGCCATCTATTCTCGGCAGAGATGGTCCATGTATGTACGTATGTATATGTACATTTTGCGCGGGGTTGTCATGTACATACTTACACATACATGTACTCTGTCTGTACACCTGTTGCATACTGCCATGCACAGCCCCGCAGCACTCGACGCCCTCATCCTCGGCTGGCGGTAGCTTGACGACAGGCCTCGCTCCAAGCGTCATCTAGGACTGTTATGGTTATGTCTGTTAGAGCCGTGCTCTATCGTCGCCAATGCCGTTGACGACGTCATGCTAACTACCCACACGACCTGGACACCAAAGACGCACCGCCTCCATCTCACGCCGGCAATACACACTCGCCTTGAATTCTTCCGAGCGCCAGCCTCAATTCCTCGGGCCACCGCCATTGTTTGATCAACAAGCCCACGGAGAGCACACTATTTAGCCGGCTGCCACCTTAACTATCTCTACAAAGCGTATAGCGCCCTCGACCCGCCTTCTTCCTTCTGCCGAATCTGGTATCCACAGATTCAATCCCCCGCACTCCATCTTGCTTCTCCAATGTTGTCGATGAAGCCCGTGTATCGACAGGGAAAATTCCTCAGTGCTCCGCACATGCACATGGACGATGCCGTCTCCGGATGCCTGACGGTATAAGTACCCGTCAACATGCCCGTGGGGCCGTTATCAACTCGACAAATCTTCCGTCATCATGCTAACTGAGTGGCTCGTTCGCGCTCTCTTTGTAAACTTGGCTGTTGCCAGCAAAACTAAACCCGCACCCGCCAATCCAAGGTTCACCACGCTGGTTACCTTTGGCGACAGTTATACAGATGAAAATCGCTTAGGCTACTTCATCAATAACAATGGCTCCGCTCCGCCAGTGGGTTGGCAGCAGCCAGTGGTATGTTGGCCCGCCTACAGACATTGTCTTCCATCCTAAACATACAATGCAGGGCTTGAAGACAGCATCTGGAGGACGGTCCTGGGCTCGATTGGCCAGTGACTACTCTGGCGTGAAGCTCTACAACTATGCTGTCTCGGGGGCTGTATGCTCCAACCAAGTATCTCCAAGGCCCCTCGCCGCCATCAACGCGCCTTTCCCTGATGTTGCTGGCTATGAGGTGCCCGCTTTCATCGCCGACTCCAAATACGTGAATCCCAACGGCACCAAATTCTTCACTGGCAAAGCCTCGGACACTGCCTATGCCATCTGGATTGGGACCAATGACCTCGGTAATGGCGCCTTTTTGACCGATAAACAGCTGCCCGGCAAGACTGTCATTGACTACGTGGACTGCGTTTACGATCAGATTACCCGCCTTTACAATAACGGCGCCCGCTACGTTGTTCTCTTGAACCTGGCGCCTCTTGAATTGCTCCCACAATACCAACTTCCCGAAAAAGGTGGCTTGCAATCGACGCAGTTCTTCAACAATGCACCCGGAAAGAATCTGACTGCGCTCCACGGCCGCATGAAAAACACGGTTGCCGCGTTGAACGGACTGTTCAAGTACCGTACCCCCTACCAGTTCGATTACACGGAGTTGTGGGACGGCGCCACAGTAGTGAATTTTAACGTCAATGCCCTGATGCAGGAAATCTACTATCACCCAAGCAAGTACCTCAACGGCACTGCCCCGCCCAATGTAGAGGGTGTGGCGCATCTGTGCAACGACCAGGGAGGCAACTGCACCACAGCCAGCAGTCTCGACAGCTTCATGTGGTATGACCCGCTGCATCCAAGTGAGCAGACCAGCCGTGTCATAGCCAGAGAATTCGTTAATGTACTCGGCGGCGAGAGCAAGTATGCTACTTACTGGGGAGAATGATGAGTGTTGAGTTGGATAGCTGGTAAGCTGGGATTAATTTATGTAGAAGAATGAATATATGCATATGTCTACAACGCCATCCAACGAAGCGAAGGCTAATGCTAAGGTTATTGCCAAACGATGTATGCTGTACGCCAAAAACGATGCAATCTGCGTAAAAAGAACAGGAAATAGAAACAACCAACCCGCTCAACGGCAGAAGCTGAATCGTCAACCTCATCTATACCAATACAACACCCACGCTCAAATACTGCGACACCACCTCTCCAACCCCTTGTCCCCGCCCCTAATACCCTTGAGCACCTCACCCACCTCCTCAAGCGCAACATCGCACCTCACCATACCAAACGACCCCACCTGGCCCTGAACAACCGGCATGCACAAGCCCAGCTCCACAAGGCCCTCCCATTCGCGCCTTGCTACATCTTTACACCATACCTTGCTTGCACCACTACTGCTACTAAGTCCCCCAGCCGCCGATTGAATACGCGCTCGCGAAGCTAGGCTAACATATTCATCGTACGCCATGTTGAAATTGCACGTGTCCGAGTCGTGAATAATGTCTAGTCGGGCTGCAGCGATAAGCAGAGAGAGTGCGAGCGTTGATAGCGAGGGCACGAGACATAGCTTTGAGTCTGGGGCGCTGAGTAGATAGCCGGGCTGGAAGGGCGTGTCGGGGCTGAGTGTTGCAGTGGGGAGGAGGAAGGAGGTTAGGACTTGGGGTACGGATTTTGTGAGGTAGAAGCTGGGTGCCAGGTGCTGGGTGAGGAAGGAGGGGGTTGCGAAGAGTTTCTGTGAGGTTGGTATCAATCATGTGACATAGAAATGGTTGCAAAAGGAAGGACTTACGGAGATGTTAGCATTCCATTCGCTAACCATGTCTTGCTTTGCATCGCCTTTTTGTCCTTTACTCGGTGTGCTCTTGGCTCCACCTCCCAGAATTCCTCGCTCCTTGACGCTCAATTGTTCGGGCTCCAATGTTAGACAAGCTTTGCACATGGTCTGGAAAGCAGTAAAAGATGTCGCTAGCTTGAGATGCACGTATCGATGGCTGAATCGACTCTTGACGCGCTTCTCCAGTGTATTAGTTACATCGATGCGCGTTGTCAGCCCCAAAACGGCGATGGGAGCTTTTCGCGATTGTGCAATATCAAAGAGATTGTACAGCAATGTCTGACGAGGGTGATGGGCAAAGAGGTCAAACTCGTCCATGATGAAGATGACTGCTTTGGCTACTTGATCTGTATCTTCACCCGTCTGTTCCGACGGATGTGAAAGCAGAGCGAGCAGAGTGGCTAGCGTGTCGGCGTAGTTCTTACCAGGCCCACTGCCATCTTCTTCGATGTCCATCTCTTTGCCCAGCTGGCGCCAGATTTCTCGTAGCGCAATCTTGTCATCAGTGTGCACAAATCCGTTTAGTCGAACAACATGGTAATGTCCACCATTGTCTTTGGAAACTTCGGAGAGAACCTTGTTTACGAGTGCTGTCTTCCCACTACCCCGAGCGCCGATGATAAGCATAGAGTTGCCCTCGCCAGCAGTGATTGTGTGTTCGACAACTTGGTGTACCGATTTGTATTCTTCGTCCAAGCCAACTAGAGACGAGGGGCGCTTTCCTGTGATTCGCTCCATAACAATCGTCTTGATCAAATCCAATTCGTGACCTGGCGCGAGGTTACTGTATATGAGAGGCAGAGCAGAACTTTTCTTTTGCGCCGAAGTTGGCTTATTGAACGGACTGGGTTCGGTAGGGTCCAAAACACTACCCAAAGCACTGTTGCCATCCACGTCCAAATCGTCGTCATCATTGTGTGTATTGGCTTGCCCTTCAACATCTGACCATCGCTCTTCGCCAATGTTTGTGATGTGATCGGTGTGGCTCAGGCGCCGTGTTGTGCTCGCGGGTAGTCGTTTGTTTCTTGTCGGGGAGGCGTCTGCAAGGTCGTCCTCGCTCGCTGCTGTACTGGTCTCCTTGGTTGTAGGTTTGTGCCGCCTAGGGGCTGTTGCTGGAGCAGTGATTCCATCTGCGCCAGACGTTTTTGGTACCACCCTCTTTCGTATACTCGTTGCCGCCTTTCGAGCAGCAGGCGGCTTCGGAGGCGCGGTAGCCTTGCTGAAATCCTGCAGCTCGTCCTCTTCACCCTCTTCTTCTTCTTCTTCAGGAATTGGACTTGGTTCTTTCTTCTTTCTGGGGGCTTTTGCTCGAGGGGCTGCTGGCTTCCGCGCAGTCTTTGCGCTAGGTTTTGCAGCCACTGGGCGTGTTGCCAAAGGAATAACATTGATTGCATCTCCATTCGCAGCTTTCCGGGCTGCCACCTCTGCGTTGGTAGGTCGCCCCCTCCTACGTTTGGGTGCAGCGGCTGGCTGTGGTTCGTCTGCAACATGCGCAGCGCTTGCCACGTCTACCTGTGGCGCTTCCTGTGGTGGTTGACGGTTCGCTTTGGACGGTACTTCTATGTCGAATGCGCCTTCAAAATCGTCGTAAACGTCCACATTTTTCGCTGTCGCCGGCTTCGCAGCTGTGCCATTTGTTGCGCTCTTTAACGCCCTCCCCTTGGCTACCCTGACAGGTTTCTTGACGGGTTTTGGTGTTTTGTTATCTTCTAGATTGCTGATAGATGGCTTGGCCAGCTTGCCAGTGGGTTTCCTTGTCGATGGCTTCCTCAATGCGGCCGACTCGGTGGGCTTGGAGGCATCGAGTTTTCTCCGTTTCGCTGATCGTGGAGAATCGTCCATGGCGGTAAACTGTAGTTCTTGGAATGCGTGAAAGGCGTGTCGATGGGATATTCGTTACAAAGTGTGCGCCATAGCAGTTGCGGTGAATGAAGGGGATCCGCCTAGCAACCAGATGCCATAGTTGTTGCTGGTCCAGGCGCGTCCCTCTCCAAAGGCGCGTCGTCGCGCTGCCACCCCTGCATTGTGCCAAGACCCCACCTCCGCCTGTACAAGTGCATGCAGCACGCCCTACAGTTGACTTCCCCACTACTGCTATCGTAACGATTAGCTTCACCATAGCTTGCGAAAAGTCCCTAGATATTAAATAGCCATGACCCCTATCCCTCTCCTCCCACAATCATATACACAATGGCTTCAACCCAGAGTGCCCAGTCCGACCTAACATTATCCCCACATAATGTCGCTCAACCAACACTGGACGACATTGAACTATTTCAGCAGAATGATAACGACGCTCCCCACAACGAGGCAGCATTTTCTCTGCCACCTACCGATGGAGGCAAGGATGCCTGGCTCTGCCTGTTCGGCTGTTTCATGCTCGAGGCAATGATCTGGGGGTTTCCCTCTTGCTATGGTGTGTTCCAAGAATACTATGCAGCCAGTGATGAGTTTGCTGGGCAAAGAAACATTGCAGTCGTGGGCGCCTGCGCAATGGTATTTCTCACAACCCCCCAGATAGATTCAGGTCTAAATTATATCTCAGGGCATCATGTACATGGACATCACGTTGTGGTTCGCTGTGCTCAAGTACTTCCCCAGATTCCGCCGGTATGCCACCCCGGCCGGTCTAGTGGTCGTCTGTCTTGCACTTGGTCTTGGGTCCCTGTCGACGACTGTCACCCATCTCATTGTCACTCAGGGAATCCTGTACGCACTGGGTGGTGGTTTAGCATGGACTCCCATTCTCTTCAACATTGAAGAGTGGTGGGTTCGTCGTCGAGGGTTCGCCTACGGGGCAACTATGGCTGGTCTCGGATTGAGCGGTGCCATTCTTCCCCTGATCTTGGAATGGCTATTGCAGTCCTATGGCTTCCGAACAACGCTCAGGGTCTGTGCCCTCAGTTTTGTAGCCTTGAATTTCCCAATCATCCTCTTCTTCAAGCCGCGTCTCCCTCTATCCCAGACTTCGCAGTCCAGAAGCTTCGACTTGTCTTTCTGGACTTGCTCAAACTATCTCATCCTACAGTCTGGCAATGTCATCCAAAGCCTTGGTTTCTTCCTTCCTGGAATATACCTCCCCACTTTTGCTCGCTCCATTGGCGCAAGTACTGTCCAAGGCACTGTCACCATCATACTTGTCAACGCAGCAGCATTTGTTGGGTCTCTCTGCATGGGCTTGGCCACTGACAAGTACCACGTGACCAATTGTCTGCTGGTCTCTGCACTCGGCTCAGCTGTCGGCAGTTTCTTAATCTGGGGTTTCTCCACATCATTAGCACCCCTGTACATCTTTTGCGTCATCTATGGGGCGTTTGCTGGATGCCAGTCGAGTGCCTGGAGTGCCATTGTTGCCGACACACAAAAGAAAAGAAGGGGTGCAGACTCGGGCTTCGTATGGGCCTGTCTCTCCGCTGGCAAAGGCGTTGGCAACCTATGCAGTGGTCCGCTATCGGAAGCGTTGATGCATGCTGGCAATTGGAGTGCAGGCTTTGCTTATGGCAGCGGTTATGGCGCATTGATTGCTTTTACCGGCGTGACAGCACTCTTGAGCGGATGGGGGTATGCGGCCAGGCGAATTGGATGGATTTGAAATAATTGTATGTTGTTCAACATTGCGCATTGTGCATTATGGTGCCGAGGCTCGTGTGCGATTGGCAATGTTGTATCACACTCATTAAGAATTGCGCGAGGATGTAGAGTAGAAGACGAGAGAATCGTTCGATGCAGAATCCAAGATGGCGTTTGTCACAGAAGGTACATGGTGGTTAGGTGGTTGCGCCAATGAGCTTCGTTGCAGGTAGGTCTTGGCAAGGAATATACGCGTACGCATGAAACAGGCCCACCGACGTCCTTAATGCGCGATCGGGCTTCCCGCATCTTGTAAACAAGCATGTCACTTTTCTTAGCAACCCTAAGCACCAACCGGCAATCTATCTGTGGCCGGGGAAAGGCCCTACTGCCCTATGCATGCTGCGCAAGGGCCGTTGATGTTCCAAATCCCGCTTCATCTTTCGACTGACAGCCGCGTCTCATTGGCACACGACCTGAAACCCCGGGTGCGATCAGCGGTTGCATCAAACATACATTCTGTCCGAATCAGTTGGCAAGGCTGGGCTCCCAGCGAGTCCGCATGAGATACCCTAGTTGCTGAGCCGCGCCGACGCAGTGTTTAGATTGACCTCGTCAACATCCTACAGATGACAGCGGAGGTTTCATGACAAACGCCATGGGCTAGACGACAGGCATTGAACGGCTCGGTTTGTTTCCAGGACCTTTAGATGAATACAATGTCGATCGTTTCCGTGAGCACGTCATAGCTATCGAATATATATATCTTGGAAGTTGGCCTCATGGTTTGAAGGCCACCAACAAGTCAACAGTTGCCACTCACACACATTCTCTTTGAGAAGGTTCTCTTTACACCTTTCTCTCTTCCTTCTTTGTTATCCATTCTCTCGATATCCTAGCGATATTCGTACATTCACTTCGGCTGTGCCACTTTGTCCCTGTTACCCGTCAATTTCATCACTCAATCACTTTTCAACATTTCTACGCAGCTCGCCTAAACGACTACCGCAATCATGAGGTCTGCTGTCATTCTTGCCCTTTCGGGATCTTCCCTTGCTCGTAAAGTGCCCTTTCAATCAATTTCACCTTAAGCATTGACTAACATTGCTAAGTGCCCTTTGGCGGTGCCATGAACGCTATGTTTGGTGCCAAGGAGACTCGTGAGGCTCCTGCACCAGGGAACATGCCCAGCTTCCCAGGCGCTGGTTTTCCAGCTCCTACTGGAACTGGCGTGCCTGCTTTCCCTATGCCCACTGGAGGTTTCCCTGGTGGTTTCCCAGGAGGCCAGCCTGGAGGTCAACCCGGTGGTCAACCAGGCGGCGGCTTCCCTGGTTTCCCCGGAGGCCACAACGGTGGTCACAACGGCGGAGGTTTCCCTGGCTTCCCTGGAGGTCAGAATGGAGGCCAGAATGGAGGCCAGAATGGAGGCCAGAACGGTGGGGGTTCCCCTGGCTCCCAAGGAGGCAATCCCCCAACCGTAAAGAGGCTCGCAATCAACTATGGCCTTGCTCCAGCCCTACACAAGAGGGGAGAGGCCGCTACTCCTGCTCTGCCAGAATTCCAGCTTCTTTCCAAGGATGGTAGTGCTCCAGCTGCTCCAGCTGCAAGCACACCGGCTACGGGTTCTCCTGCCGAAGGTGGCTCTCCATATGGCGGTGAGCCTGCTGAAGGTGCTCCAACTGAGGGTGCCCCCACTGAGGGCTCTCCTGACGCTGGTGCTCCCGGTGCCGGTACTCCCACTGAGGGCAACCCTGAATCTGGTGCCCCTGACTATGGTACTCCTACCGAAGGTGCTCCTGGAGCCGGTGCCTCAGGCGCCCCAGGTGCAGGCACTCCCCCATTCCCTCTCCCCACTGGCGCTCGTCCTCCCTTTCCCATGCCCACCGGCGGTCTTCCCTCCTTCCCCATGCCCACTGGCGGTTTCCCCAGCGGCCCAGGCGGACCAGGCGGTAACGCTCCCTACCCCGGCGGTCCTGGAGGCGAGGGTGAGGACGGCAAGCCTGGCGCCGGTGGATTTCTCGAGTGGCTCAGCGGTCTCTTCGGTAAGGGCAAGGGCGAGGGTGCTGGCCAAGGCCAGGGTGAGGGAAAAGGCGACGGCGAATCCAAGGGCGACTACTAAATGGCTTGGACTGAATGATTATCCATGGGCCTATCGAATTCATCTGACGGATGAGTGACAGATTGAGTGTCTAGATGACACGGGAACGTTTTGACATATATATTTCTCTTCTTGTATCACACCTTTTTGGCAACTTAAATACACGCTCCTTATTGAGATTGAAAGACGCTACTTGCACTGTGATTGGATTGAAGAAGAGTGATTTTTGATTTGTTATCTTGAATACCTGGTATGAAAATGATCATTGTTCCCTTGGAAAATACTTAGTATAACGTCACCTGATCATTGTACAGCTATCATTGCAGGGAACTACATAGGTTGCATGCTTAGCCTATCACGGCACCGCAAAACTAGTATGCATTGTGATATCTGTACCACCTGCACACCATATATATTTGTATATATCTACTACAAAAAATGGCAGTTAAAAGAGCGAAGTGAAAAAGTTGACCGCCGCCGTTGAGGGGAGCGAAGTCGGGTATCTCAGAAAGCTATTTCTCCGTCTTTTGTATCCTGCGCTATGCTTTTGAACTTTTTTTACAAGGTTCCTGCACCTTGATCTTTCGTGATGGTCGTCGGGTTGAAGAGACGCCTTCCAAATGCTTGTGTGTATATGTATATAGCCAACACGGCATTTATTTTAACAATGAAAAAGAAGAAGAAGAAGAAGAAAGAAAGAAACAGAGGCTAAGATGAGCTAGAAGAAACCTCCAGATTGCGCTTGTTGAAGCGCAAGAGAACTTTGCAAAACAAAAGGCGGCCATGTGTTGTTGAACACAGATATTTTGGCCAGAGAATTTCCCAGGAAACGCCGAGAATGATGATTAGTCTTGCTGGGTTGAGTGCAGTAAGATTATTAGACCTGATTTTTCCGTGTCGTGTTAACTAGACACAGCCAAGCTCTTCATGCCATTGGTAACCTCGATCGCTGCTGCTTTGGCGACATCTATGAGGCTTGGGCTCTCTTCCTTGTGGGTACCATTGGTTCCATTGACGCCGTTGGTCCCATTTGCAGTCTCACTGCCATTTACATTAGGAAGATCGGCAGATGGTGTGTGCAGCGGCTTGTCCATATCCTTAACCTCTAGGTCATTGAAGATTGGGAAGATGCCACGGGTAGCGTGGAAGTCATTGTGCACTAAAATACAAGTCAGTGAGGAGTTCAACCAATTCAAGCGGAGTTAGAACTTACCGATGTTAAGAAGGTACCAAGTGTCAATGACGTCCTGGATGACGTAACGCGATGGGCTAACACCTGCGTGGCAATTTGCCCACTGCTGGCCGAGTCGGTAGAACTCGTCCTTCCAGGCTAGAAAGCTGACTGTTTCGACAATTGTTGGTTGCACAATCTCTTTGCCTGGGAAGACACCCCATGTGACAGCGTTGGGTCCTTCGTTGGGGGCATTCGTCTTCAAGTCGCCATTCTTGTTCACAGCATAGTAGGTGAATTCTGGATCGCGGTCGAGACGGGTAATGATCTCGGCGATGTGCTCGGGTGAGACAAAGACCTCGAGGTAGGACTTTTGGTAGACATAACCATTGCGTGGACCCCAGCCAAAGACAGGATCAGACGATTTGACGCCGTTGACAGCAGGCTGAGAGTTGATGGTGAGGAAACCACGTCTGTTCAGGTCGATGAGATCGTCACGAATAGATGACGCCTCCGCGGTGATGGGTTGTTCACTCCATGGCAACGACTCTAGTTTGCCCTCCATATAGCGTACAAACAGATTGGAAAGATCCCGGATGGTCAATGGCGTGCCCCATAGCTTGATGTTTTGCTCGTTAGTGCCCTTGAGACCGATGCCATATGAATCCAACTCGCCGAAAGCAGGTGATCGCGAATCTCCCCAACGGCCGTTAGGAAACTCGTCCCAGTCTTGAGTGCGTGCAACATAAGACCGTTGTCGGTTGCGCCAGAATATGGGTCGTACATTCTCCTCGCGTCGGTTGAGGGCCAAGGAGGGTCGCCATGGCAGGGGCTTCTCGAGCGGGGATTCTACATCTGGCAAAAGTTCAAGCTCCTCGAGAACCATGCGTGTGGCTTGAGCAAGGTTCATTGTGTAGCTGGGGGTAAGTCAGTACAAGTAGTGTAGATATGGCCATATAGCAATAGTAAGACATACAAGTGCAAATGGGTAATGCCGGCGTCAATCAGCCTCCGGCACATGTCAGCCACTAATGTCTTGCCAACTTCACGGACTTCAACATCGTCGTTCTTGACAGGTTCCAGAGCCTTTGTCCAGTCATCGGGAATGTGGCATTTTGTCCATTGGGCTCTTCGTAGAAAGGCGGCGTGAGTATGGATGGGCATGATGCCGGGAATAATGGGAACGTCGATGCCCTTGGCACGGACTTTTCGTACCCACTCGAGGAAGAGGTCTGTGTCGTAGAACATTTGCGTTACAATAAAGGAGCCTCCAGCATCGACCTTTTCCTTCAAGTGGTCAATGAGCTCATCGACATCGTCGTTGTCATCGCTGCCTTCCGAGTATCCTGCAACGCCGATATCGAAGTGGTTTCCGTACTTTTCCTTGATGTAGACAACCAGGTCCTTTGCGTAACGGAATCCGCCAGCCGTTGCCTCCCACTTTTCTCGTTCACGGGGTGGATCACCTCTCAGGGCCAGAATATTTGTGCAGCCGGCCTGGTATGCTTCCCGAAGGGCCTCGTCGAGCTTGGACTTTTCCATGTCGGTGCAGGTAAGGTGCATGCAGGTCTCGAGACCGTAGACGGACTGTGCGACCTTGACCATTTCGCAGGTCAGTTTGGAGTGACGGCCGCCGGCGCCCCAGGTGAGGTCGATGAACTGTGGGCCGAAGCTGTGCATACGGTCCATGCGGTCATAGAGGTTTTGGACACCCTTGGAGGTCAAGTCAGCGCAGTTGCTTTTTGAGGATCCTGGGGACATGGAGTACCTGTGCGGTCTTTGGCGGAAAGAACTCGAAGGAGAAGGTCGGCTTCCCTTCGCGCTTCGCCTGAGCGAGTTTCTGTGAGATGTGCATGGTGGGCAAGGGTTAGAGGAAAGAAGGAAGGACGGAACGAAGGAAGAAAAAAAGAAGGAGAGAAGAGGAGCAGAGTGCGAGTCTATGTCGAGCAGAGGGACTCGGTGGGTATGCAACAGGAACAGGGTGCACCCCGCGATGGGTTCACTGCGGTGTGTACAAGGATGTATGCGTTCGGTCGGTGTCGAAACTCCGACGGAGCTTATCCAAGGTATCGTTTGCGGGCCCAGCGATCAGCGAGTGTCCGCGACATGTACGACAGCTGGTTGGAAGGGCAGGGTGTCAGGTGGTAGTCTGTGTCAATCCGTCTGTCGGTGGTTCAGGTCAGGACTACAACGTGTCAATGAGGCGGTGATGTGCAGTTTTCTCTAGCTCGCAGGTGATTGGAACAAGGTTAGCGCAAGGGCGTGTAGTGAGTCCGGAGGTGACATCGGAGCGCTGGCAAGCGAGGCCCATCTTCGGCCACATAATACATCGCCGTGTGCCATGCGGTGAAGAGCCCGCCATGGCCGGCGAGACAGCAGCGCCTGGCGGAAACCGAGTGTATGTGTATGCGTACGCGTATAGCAGAGACGACTTATATGTATACGGGCGAGATGTGGCATCCATGTGGTGGTAGTGCTGTCTGGGGGTGTCGGCAGTGCTGTTGCCCCACACTCCAGCTGCAAAACCACCCGCCGTCCCACATCTTCCACCCACGATGCCATGACTGCCCTCCCCCGGGTTTTCCCAATGCGGTAGCTCCGGAGCGCCATCCACTGTTGCGCAATTCAGTCTGCACTACACACTACGGCACATGTAATACTACTGCTACCATGTATACCCTCTGTACATATGTAGCATGCCGTCGCGTCCACCCACAGAACAATGACACACCAGCCTTTTCATCCTTGGCTGCTCATCCACCCCTCCTAATAGCTCCATCCTTCCCTCTCCGTCTCCCTCTCCATCCCCCCAGCCACCCGCATGCCCACCACCGGCATGCCTCCCATTGCTCGACCCCGCCGCATTGTCGGCGTCTCGCTGAAAATGTACTTTGACCTGCCCAGCACCCTCTCCTACATCCGTGGTGTCCTGCAACTCGATGGCGATGCCTGGAATGCCCGCATCGACCTCTTCGTCATCCCCGACTTTGTCTCCTTGACCGAATCAGCCCGCATCCTCGAGTCGTCGTCCATCATCCTCGGCGCTCAAGACACCTTCTGGGAGGACAAGGGCGCCTACACAGGAGAAGTCAGCCCGCTTATCTTGAGACAGGCCGGTGCGAGAATTGTCGAGATTGGCCATGCCGAACGGAGAGCCCTCTTTGGTGAAAACGACGAGACGGTTGCGAAAAAGGCAGGGGCTGCTGCGAGAAACGGCCTCATTCCGCTCGTCTGCATTGGCGAGAAGACGCATCACGGTGTCGCTTCAGCGGCCGTCGGAGCTGCTGTAGACGAATGCACCCCCCAGGTCAAGTCGGTCCTGGCTGCCGTGCCCGACGACACCGAGGTTATTCTGGCTTATGAGCCTGTGTGGGCCATAGGCGCAAAGGAGCCTGCAGATCCTGACCACGTAGTCATGGTGACAAAAGCGCTGAGGTCGCTGGCTGCTGGCCGCAAAGGTCTAACAAGAATCGTCTATGGCGGCAGTGCCGGTCCAGGAACTTTCGCAAAGATTGCCGACGGCGTAGACGGCTTGTTCTTGGGCCGTTTTGCACATGACCTCCACAATCTCAAGAAAGTCATAGAAGAAGTCGGTGGTGCTTGATGTGTGTAAAGAAAGAAAAATGCGTTTCCATATTCCAAGAATACGACATGCTGCAGTTTCAGACTGGGGCAGGACGCCGGTGGAGTGACTGAGAGAGAGAGAGAGAGAGAGAGAGATATTACCTGGCATCCCGTGACTGGCACTCGCGCATCACCTGCTCTTCATTGCAATACATGACGAGATTGCATTGCGCTCTCGTCGCCCTATGCTAGGTTACTTCTTCCAGCCTATGAGGCCGAATGGTATGTGTGACGTCCCTTCTTTACTGCTATCGGTTCGCCATGCCTTGCCCATCTGCTAGAAATGATATCGAATCTATTTGACCTACGCCACAGTGTAACAGCGTGCCTGATATTTCAAGACTTATCTAGCATGCATGCGTACGGCCAGATTTGTATACGTCTTCGAATTCTCGACCTGTGCACAATCACTCCAGCTTTTCCACATGGAGTCCAGTCCGATGGCCTTCTAGTCACAACCATTACGAATTGCGGTCCGTTCACCCGCAATTCGGATATGCGGAACATGCAGTTTCGGTGATAGTTGGCTGTTATGAGGGGTGACGAATAAGCTTTGCCTCTGTCTCGCTCGTCCGATAAGCCGGGTACTCCTGTCAGCCTTGAACGTCTGACCACATCCATCTATACAACATAGCCCCTAGTGCCCTACCCGACGACTCTGCGACATTCTGAAAACAGCATTGTTCGAATGACGAGTCCATTTCGCTCAGTTGCACTCGCTCCCCGGAGGTTGATTTCCAGGTCACCGCTTGTCCTGTCATGGTTTGCCAAATCAAGTTAGACTGCGTTCAATCCGGAAAGTGTCTGTCACTTTCATTGGTCCTTTCTGAGGGCTTTTCGGACGAGCGCAGCCTACTCACCATGTGTTCTAGTCGTGGGCGTACGTCACGCCAGCATGGCTCGATGCTATTCACCCCTCAGTAGTTCAGTGCGGGGGTGAAGCCTTCGATCAATTCGCACCAAACGCCGAGTTTCCCCTACAAGCCTGATCCACCCATCATGGCATTTCGCCGGTCCATGCAGGGATGCTCTGAGCCTTGAGAAGCATCATTCGGTCCGGCGTTCAACGTCGGAGGAAAATGGATTGTCTCGACACAAAATTGATCGTGTGATTGGCTTGCTCTGAGCCAAACCACAACAACACAGGCGACTTATGTTGCGCCCTCAACTACCATTAACCAAAGTCGTATGAGGGATAGTCGGCACACAAACTGATGTATTGCAATGAGGAAATAAGGCTGGCAACCATACGTCCGGATTTAGCTTTTTTAGTACGTTTCCCCGCAAACTCAACCCGCCAGCGCCGGCCCGACGATCATTTGGCTCCCCAGTCGAGCTTTCGCACCCACCCCCCAGCTTTCACCTGCCGTTTCTCCGCTCGACTACTCGAGATCGACCCTATGGACTAGAGCCATTGGTCTTCTAATGGCTATTGTCTGTTGGGCCCATGTACGTGTCATGATTCCTGATGCATGCTATTGTCATTGTCGCTTGTTCGAGCAGTAGGATCGTCGAGCTCTAGACAGTCCAGAGTGAATGGATTCATGTCAGTGTGCAAGGTCTCCCATGAGAAAATATGGGCGAGGTACTGTGTATTTTAATCGTGGTACCAGCGTCGATACCAGGCTGGTATCAGTACATGCAGAAGAGACTTTTGGAAGAGGCCTGGTGTTTACAAAGTGGCTACTCGCTCCACCCCGCTCCCGTTACTAGGGTCATTTTGTCACGGAAGCCACGTTCTCGACTACGAAACGCCTCCTCATGACCTAGACGAATCAAGACCTCGATCCATAGCCGACCCTAACCTGGCCATGTCTGCCTTCCCGCCAATTCGATTCCCTGTGCCATGCCCAGGGCGGAGCCGCAACGGCCGGTCATCGTATCCATCCTGCAATTGGGGCGTCTGTACGCTGCCCTATGCATACTTGGTGTTGATCACTTGCTTTCGTCCGCAGCCACGCTTGTTCACAATTGACATTTGTGCTCCGAGTTTCCCGAACATTTATGCCCCTTGCTTGCTTCATCGATTGTCGTGTCCACCTATATTAGCTCTCTCCTCCCCAGTCTCTCGTCTTCCTGTGTCCAATTACGATATCTCTGCAGATACCACCGCTTACCCTACCTCACCTACCTGCGGCCATTACGACGAGCACTTGATTCTTAATACCGATTCTGCAAGAAACACACCTTTCGATAACCACACAGCCTGTATGGACCCAGATCACCAGCAAAAGTACTCGTCAAATGACGCTCATCTGAGCCCAACTCGAGACGCAGAGACACTGTCGGCTGGATCAACAGCAAGAAACGAGTCAACAGCAAGAACCATGGATGTTCACAATGGTTTGGAAAAGGATTTTTCACATCCCAACGGTGAGATCCCAAAAATAACGCTGGCTACAGCTTGAGATTGACAATACTAGGATATAGCAACGGTTATCCCGGGCACCTCAACCTCGATGCTTCAGTTGATTCCAATACCGCGCTTCATCATATCCGGACAGCAGGCAGTATTTCCATCTCGCCCGAATTGTTCGAGAAGCTCTATCTCTCACCCCCAAATAAAGTAAAAGGCGAATTGAGAAAGACTTTTGGCAATCCTACACCAATGTATGCTCTCTGTGTTGATTTTGTCTTCCGTTGAAAGCTACTAACATTCACAGCGCTATCATTGGGTTCTTGCTGTCTCTATTTCCACTGAGTATGACTCTTATGGGGTGGCGAGGCGCTGGAGGCAGTGGTGCCGCGAACATCGGGTGGTATTACTTTGCCGGAGGTCTCCTAATGGTTCTTGGTGGCATTGGTGAAGTATGCATGGTCTTCTCGCTTCACCAAATATGATGCTGACTGCCGACAGTGGATTCTAGGCAATACCTTTCCATTCGTCGTGTTCTGTTCTTTTGGGGCTTTTTGGCTAGGCTTTGGTGCTACACTCCAACCTTTTTACAACGCATATGGAGCATACGCCAATCCCTCGGTCCAAGGCAGCACGGGTCTGGAGTCTGTCGGCTTCAATGTTGGTATTGGTATGTCATGGGCAACATGAAATGCATATGTTCTTCTGACCTTTATCACAGCATACTTCCAAATCGGCATGGGCATAATGTGCCTCGTCTTCCTCATCTGCTCCATCCGTACGAACCTGATCTTCTTCATGATCTTCTTCTCTTTGGTGCCATCATTCGGTCTTCTAGCAGGTAGTTATTTCCAGGCTGCCAATGGCAGGGCGTCTCTTGCTAAGAAGCTGGCCGAGGCTGGTGGTGCATTCGGCTTTGTTGCCTGTTTATTCGGATGGTACATCTTCTCTGCTATTATGCTGGCCACTGTTGATTTTCCCTTTAATCTTCCCAGTAAGTCGCTGACTGTGTGAATAAGTGCCCTTGTACTTGCTAAATCGATACAGTTGTGGACCTGTCGAGTGTAGTCAAAGGGGCGAGCGAGAAACGCAAAGTCGATCACGTCGAGTGAACACAATGCGGTCAGCAAGCCATCAAAATGGAGTGAAATGTGTTCGGAATGGTTGATGTGCTGGTTGCCAAGGGGTGGGTCGTGGGACGGCAAGTAGATGAAACTCATGCTGTTCGCATCACGCGACCAAAGGTGAGATTGCGAAACGCCGCACATATAGCCAAAAAGCTGTTTGGCGATACTCATAGCTCGTGTAATGTTCATGTAATGACATATGCCGATGAGAGATATAATTCTGATGGATCATAGCCCGACAATCGTCTGTAATGTACCCCAGGGTTCCTTGTCCAGTTGCCGGACGGACACTACCGTGGAAACACATCGGTTGTATGAGCATCGCGTTTTGCTGGCAGCACCAGAAGCACGAACTCCTACAGCTGACAGGCGGTCTGAGACAGATTATTTGAGAGGGCATAATATCTCAGTCTGCTTTCCGAACGGTGCTGTGTCGCGCATTAACATTTTTGTAACAGGAGTGACATGTCAGACACTGGGAAATGATTTGCGGGTCTGCTGGCCCGGACCGTTCAAGCAAACCGGTGGTTCGTGCGTCTATACCAGTACTTATATGTGTACAACACACTAACAGTTGATGATAGTTAGCCAAAAGAAAGAAAAATCCATCCATGTTCACTGATATCTCAACGTCATTGAAAATGATTTACCCGGTGGAAGTAGACAGCATGCAGCAGCACACGCGCCACGACATTGCCCCCACAACGCAGCCGCGGAGACAAACAAGTACTTCATCAAGTAAATCCTCACAATCGCCCAACTTCTCCCGTCCATATCTGCAACAGCCAGTAACAAGGAGGCCGATTCCAAGATCAACTGACGCTCTTCCCCTCGCAAACGCAGCACCAATATCACATCAAACCATCATCGTAACACATAAACCACATATCAGCAAAAGCCACCAACCCGTCCGCACAAAAACACGACGACGACCAAAAATGGGAACCTACTTTTTAACAGGCGCCAACCGCGGCATCGGCCTCGAGTTTGTACGCCAACTCGCCGCCAACCCCTCCAACACCATCATTGCAGGCGTACGTTCCAAATCCATCGACCTATCCGACCTACATTCTTTGAATTCAAACAACAACGTGCACATTGTCGAATGCGACGTCGGCTCCCTCGAATCGCTCTCCGGCATCGAATTCCGCGTCGCCGAGATTCTGAGTAAAAAGAGCTGCAACCTCGACTTCCTCTTCAACATTGCCGGTATAAACGCTACCAGCAGCGACACGAGCCTTACACTCGACCCAAAAAGCATGGCAGAGCACATGCAAACCAACGTCCTTGGTCCCGCAAAAATCGTCCAGTGCCTCCGCAGGTACCTAGCTCGTGGCGCCACTGTGCTGAATATGTCGTCTGGACTCGGTAGTCTGGCTGTTGCTTCGGAGACTACAAAGTGCTGCACCTACAGCATGTCCAAGGCTGCGCTGAATATGTTGACGGTGCATCAGAGTAAAGATCTCAAGGGGAATGGGGTCAAGGTTGTTTGTATGGATCCTGGCTGGGTTAAGACGAGGATGGGGGGTGATGGGGCAGTGCTCGAGGTGCAGGATAGTGTGAGGAATATGTTGGATGTTGTGGCACGGTTGAAGGAGGCAGATAGTGGAAAGTTTTATAGACAGGATGGGGAGATCGTGCCTTGGTGATGGAGGTTTGGGGGGAAATCCATTAATTTTATCATCTTTGAATGAGAGACTGTACATTGCGAGAATGTTCAGACATCAGAATCCTTGTGCACATCTCTGGGGTTTGAAGACATTTTTAGATCCCCTGGTGTTTTTTCTGTTTCTTACGCCCCTTTTTTTTCTCTCTCGTTGAAACGACCACACTCCAGTTTCGTTGTTGACGGCCCGAATACCGTATGATGAAACTGATAATTAATAGATAAAATGACTGTGAATGGCTGAAATTTAGCTTTCGAATGTTTCCCCTATCCTATCAAGCTGCCACATGCATCCAGGTAATGTAGCGAATCCTTCCATTTCATAGCTCCCTGCATCTCAAAATGCTTTCTTTAGGCGAACAATAAAACGTATCCTTCTAAATCAACACCCGAAAGCAAAATTCCTTTAAGAAAGTTCGACTTGAATCACCATCTCGACCGATTTCAATTCGAAAAAAGTAAGGAATTTCACCCCCAAGCCCAATCCATCCACCTGACGAGCCATCGACTGATGAATACAAAGCCTCACTTCCCTCCACCCGATTTCCCATCTCCCAACACTACAATATCCTTCCTCCTCTCCAATCTCCCCACCCTAACCCTAACCTCGCTCTACAGCATATCCCTATCTGTCTGCCTTCCCACACCGCCTAACATATTTGCAATACTTACAAAATATCTTGAGATGAAGATGAAGGGAGAAAAAAAGGCCCACAAGTCTTTGAATCATGAACGCATCAGACGCACCACTTCCACTAAGGCGATTACAATCAAAAACCATGACAGAACAAAACAAAAATGTAGTATATTGCGATACTCATCTATCCCAAGTCAAGTAAAAAAGCCCGTAACTCCAGAAAAATGCAGCGCTAAGACCCTACATAGCCACCAGTAAAACAAAGAACAAGCCTCTTGACAGACAAAATCTATTCCTCTTCGTCATTGGAAAAAAATACTGATGCTACGCAAAACACCCCACTCAATCAAGCTCTCTATAACCACCCGCTTTGGCTCCCCATCCTAAACTCTCTACACAGCCTTTGGCCGCCTAAAAGGATGCGCCTCGGTATTAAACACCCATTCATCAAGATCAATCATATCCGGGGTACTAAACACGAGATAGAAATACTTGAGCGTCTCGGCCGTCCAAAACGATTCCATCTTATTCTCAATGTTCTTTTCACGCGCACTTGACTGCCCCGCTGCACCAGACGCAGTAGTAGTCGTAGGGGTAATAGTAGTAGCATCCTGCGGTGCAGCAAAAGTAACGTCGCGGACCTGACCGTACCCATATGTTGTTTCGGTAGCAGCAACGATGCTGTTGAACATTTCCCATGCGCTGTCGAGGTAGTGCCGGTCACCCGTGATGCGGTACATGATGAAGACGGATTCGATTGCTTCGGGCCGGAGGAGATACCGGCGATCGCGAATATTCGTGAATGCAGTGGGAATACTGTATTTTTCGACGGCGGTATTGATATTGTCAACATACTTGGTGCCGTAGTGGGTGAGGACGCCTTCAGCCCAGGTGGTGTAGTTCCAAGGGCAGGATGTGCGCGATTCGCAAGGGACCATGTCGAAGGTTTCGGGCATGATGCCGGTTTGGGTGGCGGCATAGCTGTAGATGCAGCCTTTTGTGAGTTTTGCGCCGAGGTCGACGTGTTCTTTGATGGAGAAGATGCGGCCTGCTAGACCGAACATGCCGCCAATGAAGCATGTTAGATGCTGCATGGTTGGGTTTAAAATGATTTGGTCGCTATAAGCAGAAACGTCGCCACAGAGTAGCAAGTTCTCGCCATGGTCCTTGTCAGGCACCATTGGCCTGAAAAGCAAGTACTCGTCAATCTTCTTTGCAGAGTCGCGGTACAGCTTCTCGTACACGGGCTCCACACCACCGAGCAGCGCATGCATCTTGGGGAAATACTCGTACGTGCTATCTGCCAGCGCACCAATGGAAAAGGAGCCCGATAAAGTAAAATCCTCACGCGCGACATTGACCATGGTCGGCCAAAGCCCGGGTATCTTTGTAGAATTCTGGACACGGTCCATAAGTAGAGTGACTCTGGCCACAGCGTCATAGTACTTTGGCTCAGACGTGATCTGTGCAAGGCGTGTGAACTCCATAGTTAACGAGCCAAGGCAGGCAAAGCAAATATTAGTCTCGGCATCAAAAGTATCTCGGTCGACCTTCTTGACCTTTTCCACACTCATCCAACCTAGCGGCGTATTGTTTGTAGTGTCAAAGGCCCGGTACAGCATTTCTCCAAGTTGAATTGCTTTCTTAAGCAAGATTGGCTTGCCGCTCATATCGTATGCGCTCAGCAAACCCCCTAAGTATCGAATTGTCGTTTCAAAGACGCTGACACTCGTGAGGTTCGTCCTGCCGAAGTCGATTGCCGCAACTGCCTCTACAGCCTCGTTAAACTCTTCTCGAAAGCCCATGATCCACAGGGTATCGAGTGAATCGACCAAGGTAGCGCCCCAGCCGCCAAACGACTCTTCGCCTTCTGCCGTGACAGGCTTAAGCTCATCCTGCGCCCAAGCATATGCCCTGTAGCTCTCCCATGTACGCTCAAAGACATTGCGCACTGCAATTCTTTGCGACTCCCTCTGAATTCTCTGTGCACGTGTTTCGGGAAAGTATTCAGCCTGGAGGCGCGGGAGTTTGTGGGGTTTGCTGGTCGGCAGCGGGATGTAAGACGAAACGCGGTTTACAAAAGGGGCTTTGCGCCAATCGTACGACTGCTGCGATTCGAGGCTGGCGAGACTGGGTCCTTGGTGCATGTACGCTTCGTGGTCTTTAAAAGGAACGGCCAATGGGTCGATGGGCTCCCCGAAGAACCTGTAACATACGCCGAACAGGACAGCTGCACCGAGCGCGTAGAGCAGAAATCGTTTGTGTTGCCGGGACATGGGCCGTTGGTACGGTGTCCCGCGGGGCACTTTGATCCTACGCATGGTGAGATGGGTGGTGGAAACTATAGTCGCTCATTGAGTGAAGGATTTAAAAGGAGAGTGGAACGACCAAGTAAGCAGCCACCACCGGCCGTGTGCTGCCTACAAGGCTGGACTAGGACAATTGCACCGTGCCAGAGTGTCAAGTAAGTGACAGAGCGACGAGAGGTGCTTAGTGCAAAGGTGCTGACCCGGGGGGGTTGTAATATACGGAATATAGTGGAGATGGACTGGGCGCTTTAGGACACCTCTCAGGTGAGCGACAACGTATTGGATGCGGGCCATATGCCAAGGCAACATAGCTTGCCGATCAAACCGAAGCTACACGATGAGGCCGTTCCGGTAGCCGTGGCGTTAGTAAAATTCACCATGGCGCGTGGCGCTGGAATATACAATGGTGCGTACAGGCGACCGTGTACTTACTTGACTGCAGTGCAAGGGTTTCAGTTGCAGGGGCTTGCGCTAAAGGCGGCCCCTCTCCCCTGCGCATTGGCGCCAACGCGAACCACACCACTCGTGTAGCGAATCGTCAGTATAATGATAGCCGGTAAAGTCTGCCCCTCTTCCCCTCCCGGAACTATCCCATATGCACAATGCAGTCCAATTGATCAAATGTCATTAATTTGCTCCATCATTTCGTCTTACATACAATACACAGCCAGTCGCCCAAAGACCCAGAAGCCCAACACCATGCCTTTTTTCTCTAAACCTCATGCGGTCTCCATCCAGGAACGCCAGCTATTGTACAATGGGCAGCGGGTGCTGCCCGTAGAGTGGTGAGGGATACGTCAAGATTGACGGTATAGATGCAAATAGTGTCGAACGTAGAAAAGATGAGAACATCATTGCGACGAATACTCCGAAAACTCGGAACGCCTACCATAGCGGCAACATTGTGGCTCAAGACACATCCGTTCTTGGTTTACTCAGATTTTGGGTCAGGCTCGAAAAAGACCTTGCGGGTTATCTGAGCCAACATTAGTAAATTTCCTAGCTTCAATGGCCATCCAACTTACCGCCCAAGATCCTGCAACAGTGGCGCAAATACCCGAACTGATGGCCATTTGCCTCGTCCCTCTTGTGCTCTTGAAAATCGCACCGCTCAAGGCACCGGCGACTATGCTGTTGCTCATCTCGTGCTTTCCCCTGTAGTAGCCAATGGTGCTGTTTATTCCATTGTACACCATGGCAATCACACCTGCACTGTTTCCCAAAAATGGCCCTCTCCGCGTTATCGCATTGAGCACACCGTTTAGCCGCAACCGTGGTGGCATGCTGGGCGGGTTCTTCTGGAGTCCTTCAGCAAGTCCCCATGCGCCACCAATCGTCAGTGCCGTCAGGTACGAAACTCCGGTGCCATAACATAAGTCATCTGACCAACCACGCGAGGGCAGGGCCGATTGCGAGCCGGGGAGATCGGATGGGAGTTGGTCTTCGAGTGAGAGGTATTCGAGCGTCTGTTGGTTGAGGCCCGCAAGAGGGTGCAATTGTGTGGGGTCGAGGATGAACTCGGAGGGGTTCTGGATGGCGGTGCTGGGGTCGAATGGTGTGGGCTGGAAAGTATCTTCTTTTACAAAGTCGCTATTTTGTGGCGGTTGTGGTGTGGCCTCCTTGGCCTTGCGACCTGTTAATGTGTCCCAGCTGGCATGGGTGTCAGCGGGTCTGGAATAGAGGGTTCATTGGGAGTTACAAAGAAAGCACATACATAGCCATATTGAAGATGTCGTGCTGTGCCGGCAGAAAGAAAAGATGAGAGGCTGCGCCGGATCGCTACCAAGACCCCCAGACGAAAGAAATATGGAGATATAAGAAATCAGGGCAAGGAAAAACGTGGGATGGCGCAGGGCAGAGGGGCGCAGGGCAATGGGGCGTGTGCTGGGGCGTCGGCGGTGATGTCGCGAAAACTTCTGGCGAGCAACATTGAACAGTGACGAACGACACCGTGCACGGACCTTTCTCGAAGGGTCTTTGCTTCCGAGCTCGGAAAGAAATCATGGAAAACGCCCACCACCCTCGGAACACATACTCACCCATACCCATCCCACGGCTCAGGAGCAACAATTCGCCATGGCGCTTCCAGAATTCAAGCAAAACTTCCTCAAGGACTGTGTGTCGGCGGGTGCGCTAAAGTTTGGCACCTTCACCCTCAAGTCCAAGCGCATATCGCCCTACTTCTTCAATGCGGGGCTATTCCACAGAGCCGACTTGCTGCGCTCAATATCCTCGGCCTATGCCCATACCCTCAAAGCGCACGCCGAGGCTGATGCCTCTTTCCAATGGGACATCCTCTTCGGGCCCGCATACAAGGGAATTCCCCTCGCAGCGGCATCAGTTGATAAACTCGCCGATCTGGATCTCGCCAAATACGGACAGAAGAGCTACAGCTTCAACCGCAAAGAAGCAAAGGACCACGGCGAGGGCGGCAACATTGTTGGTGCCAGCCTCAAGGGAAAGAAGATTGTTATCGTCGACGACGTCATCACCGCTGGCACTGCGATCCGAGAGGCTATCGACATTATCAAGAGAGAGGGCGGAGAATTGGTTGGAATCATTGTCGCTTTTGATAGGCAAGAAAAGACTCCTACAGCCACTGACGATGACGGCAAGCCTGGGCCAAGTGCAATTGGCGAGGTGAGGAAGCAGTACGGCATCCCGGTGCTTGCTATCCTAACACTGGACGATGTGGTGGAGTATTTGAGGAGTCTGGGCGGAGAAGAGGACCTGAAGAGGCTAGATGAATACAGAGCCAAATACAGGGCCAGCGACTAAGATGAGGGGGGAGATTCCTTGGAGATAGATTATGATACCACGACGACTCCGATCATGCAGGCATGGCAGAGTAAGCACGAGGAGACTTGTTGGCTCGAATACTACCTGCTTTGCATACAAGGCCATGTCCGCAAAATTTCTTTTTGAAAGTATTTGACTGCTTATTCTCTCTTTCAGTTTCTACTTTCCTGCTTATTTTGAAAAATATCTCGCTCTTCATCACACAGCCATAGGATTGCACAATACATGACGTGATGCATAAGCCATTCGGCAGTCGATGTTGCAGAGGTATTCGTCATCTCTCCATCCCAGGACTCGAGCTGAAAATCGGTAGCATAATGTAGAGTCGTACAGACTAACGTAAAACGCCCATCGTGTTGATAGGCAGAAGGAGCATCTACCTCACGCAAGCTCATAGAAGATACCCATCACCAACACTAAGGACCTGCCTCTCAGGTCGTAGTCCCAGATCCCGAACGCCAAATTACATAGCATCTGGTAATCATTGCCAATCACTTAAGCCTTCTTAGCAAACTCGACACGAAGGATAAGATGGCCGAAACCGACTGTAGCCTGTTAGTATATTCCCAGCATGCAATGCTATACCAAAACTTACATCCATCCATCTTCTCGCACGCCTTTGCAGCGTCTGATCGGTCTGCATAGCTGACAAAGGCGAAACCCTTGGCACGGCCAGTTTCCCTGTCCTTGGCCAAGAAGACCCTGGTAACATGTCCGTATCTTGAGAACATGTCGCGCAAATCTTGTTCCTCGGCAAACTCGGAAACGTTGGTGACACGGAGGGTGGCGCTGTCGTCACGATCAAACTTGCCGCCCATCTTCTCGCCAGCACCGCCACGTCCACGCAGATGTGGTGGCACATATCCTCCAGATCCAGCACCAAGACCACCTGACGCGCCAACGCCGGGCGCATCGTCGGGCATGTCTGCGGGTGCAACATCGCCCTCGGGAGCCATGGTATCCTTGAACGGACATTTTGTGGTGAAATGGTCGCCCTGGCAAATACGACACTTGATCTTTGCGTTCTTGAGCTCGGCCTTCTTCTTCGCCTCGTCTCCCTTGTCCTCGGTGCTTGCTTTCCAGTTCGATACTGGCCGGAATACAATGTTCTCAGCCACGGAGACGGTATCTGTTTGTGGGCCAGGGGGCTTGCCCTTTTCTTGACCAAACTTGGCCCATTGCTTTCGCTCGGCAACACGTGGGTTTACGACTTGCTTGACGACGGTCTTCTTGATGCGGCGGGTGGTCTTGATCTTCTTGCCATCCTCAATACGGTAGGAGATGACTGTTTCGGTTCCGTCCTTGTTCTTGATGACTTGGTTGGGTGGGAGGGAGGTGAGGGACTCCTCGTCGTCTTCTTCCGCCCAGTCGGTGCGGCTACATGGCAGTCGTCAGCATATATACTTTTTATCCACGGTCGGTTGAGGCGAAATAGACGACGATTGGGCGCGCCAGAGAGTCCAGGACAGCGGGTTGCGCATAAACGCACAGGGCGCAGATAGACTCACCCTGCAGGTCGTGACATGTCAGCGGCTATGTACGTGCTGTTCTGTATAGGCGTCGGTCCTGTGTGAAGTCGGGGCTGTGGTCAGATACAGCACGGTAAGAAGTGGCGGCCAGTGGGGCAATTCAATGTGTGCGCTGCGCCGCCAAGATTTCGCGCTAATAGCACCTGTCACTCACCCTTTCAAGCTTGCCCTCTACGTCTGACTTGGCTCTCATGCTGCAAGCGCTCTGGCTTGGGCTCTAGTAGTATGCATAGGCCAGGACCATTGCCTGACATATACATCCGGTCCGACACATTTATGATTGAGGACACTGCTCGTAGTATGCATCTGTATCCAAGTGCATCCCCGCCATTCTCAAGGCCAACCACTTCACTCTTGTATGCAATTGTGAGATACTGACTCTGCGCCTACCCCCTTGCATGCCTAGTAGTGCGTACGGAAATGTCTGGTAGTATATTATCCTTTTTCCTGCTCTTTACCATACGGCGTGCGAATGGGCTCTGGCGGAACTGAAATAGCCGGACAACACCAAACCACCACCAAAAGTAGCCACTTTGAACGCTAAATATC